GGCCTTTTCAACACTGGCTTCTTGTTCTTGTCTGTGTGCTCCTTTGTCTTTTGCCCTTGTTTCTCTTGAAGTTTCTTGAAAGCTTGGTCTTCATAATCCTTCAAAGAAAGTTCTTTTTTCTCATTGTGGTCATTCTTGGTTTCTTCATGCCCAGGTGGCACAGTATCAGCAACATGTGCCTCTTCTTCAGGTGGTGTGTCAGTCAAAGGCAAAGCTGGGTTTGGAATGGTAGCCAAAGTTCCATTTGCCTGGGTGCTCCCCTCTCCCTGACTGCATGCACTTGGCAAAGCCAGCCTGCCAGAGGCTGCTGCTGAAGCTTCACTAGAAGTGGAAAAACTCTTCTTGTAGTCAGTCTTCAAGGGAGCACTGTCCATTCCTCTTGCTGTGGCCATCATCATTTGCATGAAATCCATGCAAACACCAGCCAAGGAATCTTTGGAGCTGAAAGACATGTTTCTTTTCATGGCTGGTGCTGCAGCACCTCTGGTCTCTGCATGGGTGGACCTGACAGGAATGTCCTGGAGCAAAGCACTAACAGTAGTAGCCACCATTGGCCCCACATGGCTTGGCTGGTCATCCTTCAAGTAGCAAGCATCCATGAACTCCTGAGCTTTGTAGGCACAAAATCCAGCTATACACTTGTGTTTCTTTATCATTTCAAAAATAAACAAAATATAATGCATCCAAGTCACTGGTCCAATGTCAGCAGGTTTGTCTGGGTAGGTAGCCAGGCCAGGAACTAAGCTTGGTTGCTTGCTCTTGGTGAAGGCTTCATGGAGGTAAGCTGACATTTTGTAAATTTCACCACCAGGTGGCTTGGGCTCTCCCCTCATCATAGCCAAGTGCACCAAGAGTGCAACCACATGTTTTTTTGCCGCTTCCCTCATGCTTTTCACACCAATAGCCCTGAGCCTTTGAACAGCAATGTGCACTGATTCTGTGAAAGGAGCCTTCTGCAATTGCACCCATTCCTTGGCACTAAAGTAGTTGTACAAACTTTGCAAGGTTTGTGGCACATTCTGTAGTTTCAAGGAGCCACTATTCATCTGCACCATCCTCTTCTCCATAGTGTCTTGCAAAGCCTTTTTCATGTCTTCTGGCAATTTGGCAGCATCCAAGGCCTTGATCAAATGAACCAAAAGCCTGGGTGTCAAAGTGTCTATGCCATCAACTTTGCTTTGCAATCCTGTCACCAGGTGGGGGATGGTAGGTCCAGTGGGCCTGAGTGAGTAGAGGTCTTCCAGGTCATTGATTTCCTTCAGCAAATCATCTGCTGTCCAAGCGCTCATGGCTGTAGTGGCCAGTGGTAGACAAAAGGGTAAAGCCAACAATGTTTTGATTTGTTGTGGTATTAGGTGTTAAACTCATATGGTGTAGCAGTCAAAGCGTGTCTTTGTTAGGTCATTCTGGTTGTTTGTTTGGTCCTGTAGTAAGGCGTGTCTTTGTTAGGAAAGCTTCTAGCCAGTGCTGCTTAGCCACACCAGCATCATCTTTTTTTGCAACAGCATCACTGAGGAGCCTTTGTGGCATTATCAGAACTTTAGGGGTATGAGCCATAAAAGGCTGGTTTACCAAGTTGTAAACTGACAGCAGCCTCAAGTGGCTCAATCTAATGTATCTCAACCCATCCTCACGACTTCAATGAGCCATCCATGGCTGGATCAGCCAGCTATGGCTAGAGACTTTGAATAGAGTCTTAGCTGTTAACTTTTAGCCAAAACAGGCTGTGGCTAGAAAATGAGACAAACATGGCTTTGAATATATTCTTTGCTGATACAAATTAGCCAAAAGAGGCTTTGCCTAGAACATGAGCCAAACATGGCTTTACCAGCTAATGAGCTGAAAAGAGCTGATTGCACCCACACAGATGACCTGATTCCTTTTTTTCCATCTTTCTCTCAGCAGCTTCTTGAGTCTACTCTGGCAGCAAGTGGGCTGGAGGTGGTTCAAACTCTCCTGTTTCGATCTGCCTGCCCAAGTGACTCTCAGCAGCTTCTAGAGCTTGATCATCCATGAAAACATTGCCACTGATGCTCTGCAAAAACTGCTTCAAAGGCACCCATTCTTGCCAGCCTGTCAGGGAATATCTCTGCAAAGATGGAAGGTAAGGGTTTGAAGGAAACAGTCTAATGGATTACCCAGGCAGATTTGAAGGTAAGGAACCAAGATCCAAAACTGGCCAGTACTTTTTTTTTGGTTAAGGCAGTCTCAAGACAAAACTGGCTGTTACAAAGGCACCACAACTTGTTGTCTCTGTGTGACACATATCTATATACATGGGAATGTATATATCACTTCCACTGCTATATTCCAGGCCTGAAGTGTATGTTCTCACATACCAGTAGGTGCGATTTCCATCTCTATGCCACCATACCCTGAGCTTGCCAGTGTAGTCAAGCTCTGGTTGACTCCTCTGACGAGCAATGGTTCCGAGACCAGGCATATTGGTGAACACAAAACAAGTCCAAGGTTTGAAGCTAAAAATGCTTCAAGCAATAAATATTTGTTTGACTTGCGATCCAGACAGCAGAAAATTTCAATTCAGAAATCTGAATTGAAATTTGAAGAGTTTAAATTTCAATTCAGAAATCTGAATTGAAATTTAAAGAGTTTAAATTTCAATTCAGAAATCTGAATTGAAATTTAAAGAGTTTAAATTTCAATTCAGATTTCTGAATTGAAAAAATATTGCTCTTCATCTCCAAACAGGTCAGGGAAGCCAAAATTACCTCACAATGGTACCTGTGTTTCCTAGATTCTTGTCTACAATAGTGTATTTATGAGCCAAAAGAGGCTGATAACAAACAAAAAACTCTCTCACACACACAAGCCCCTCAAGGCTAGTGGCAACATGAGCCAAACCAGGCTGATGGATGTGCAATTTTTTACATATCCCTTTTAGCCAGCAAAGCGGTCTGCTCCAGAGGCTGTGATTTCTGAAGCCCACCATAGTATGGCACCACAGGCTTGTTGCTTTCATGTCTAGAATTCCTACGTATGGCCTTGACCTATGTCTATAATGTGATGTATGAAATCATTTCGTCTGGGCTTCACTCACCACATGTAGCCAATCCTCTTGGCTCCTCTGGGCCCCCAGCTGTTCAATTGGGACCTTAAGTTGAGAACCTGCCCTTTGACCAGGTGGTGATTGCTGAACAGAGTCATCACACGTTCTAACTCCTGCCACTCTCCCTGGGCCCACAGCGCCATGAGATGCACGCATCGATTCTGCCATCCAGTCTTTGGATTTCCATCCCACTGAACTTCTCGAGGATATCCACCAGGAGGCTCAGCGCGCATAGTCTCTCCACGACCATACTGCCACTGAGATTCATCTTGAGCGATTTGATGTGCATCATCATCCTGGTACATGGCAGCGCTCCTCTCCCACTCTGGCACTTCTTGCGACCAAGCCTGCTCATCCCATGTCTGATCATTGTTCTCAGGGGCTGCTCTCTCGTCCCAGGTCTGGTCCCTGTGTTTCCTGCATGGCTGTTCTTGTTGGAATCCCTGCTCTTGCCACTCCTCTTCCCAGGTCACACTGGTAGGCAAAGAATCTGCTGCAGTCGGGTGTGGAGGATCTCGCAGAGACATTTCTGGAGTGTCACTCCAGGAAGTGTGCTTTGTCTCCTGCTCTTCCTGCACTGGCATCTCAGAACTCTGCTGGACGTGCGACATAGGTTCATTGGGCCCACAATCCTGCACAGACTTTTTCTGAGACATACTTTACTCTCCTTAGTAACATGCCATTACTAAAACACATGAAGTCTCTTGAAACAAATTAGTATGAGCCAAAAGCAGCTTGAATCAGAAACAATACGCAACACTGGTCACTATGGGGCCTCTGTCCCAGAAGGCTTCTGTCCATCAGGTTGCAACTCGGTCACCCTGGTCATGTAGCTGACATAGTGAGCCACCTCTTGCGCTGCCTCTTCCTCATCCGCTTCGCGTTGTCGTAGTAAGTGCTCCGCCTCATCCGCAGGTATACTCAAGGCATTTGTAGCAAGGCCTCCTGCAGCACCCTCAGAGCGCAGCAGATCCTGAAAGTAGGACTCACCATCCTGAAGCTCTTGTTGTCCCTCCTCCTGCTGTTGGTCTTGCTGGTGGTACCAGGCTTCCTCCTCTCTGATCCATTCATCAGGAGAATCCACAGGTTCTTCCTTGATCCTCTTTGCAGCTCTTCGTTGTATGGCTTCCAAGGCTTCTTGGTTCTACAGGGCAGGTGGCAGTGGAAACACCTACAAATACAAACACATCTCACCATTTTTTTTTCTATGCAACTAGACACACAAGGCTGTGCCAGAGATACAGGAAACTTCCAAGCATAAAAACCACAGTGAGCAAAAACCAATGAGCCAAAAATGGCTGGTAAATCTCTTACCATAAGCAAGGCCTGGCGAATCAGTGCTTCCAGCTCTTCTTTCTGCTGCTCTTCATAGAGATCCACATCTATTGTGGGAGCTCTTTTCATGGGTGCGCTTCCTTCTTTGCTTAAGACATAAAACATCACAGGTCATGAGTCTCAATGACTTCTGTGCTGCCAGAATGCAAAGAAAAGCCAAAAATGGCTTGTGGAAAAAAAAATAAGGCAACAATGGTTGTTTAAATACCTTGGCCCAAAACTGGCTTCAGAAACTTGAGCCAACATAGGCTAACAGACTATGAGCCAAAATGGGCTTCAGAACCTTGAGCCAACATGGGCTACCTAACTATGAGCCAAGAATGGCTGACATGAAGTAAGCCAAAATTGACTAACAACATGTTAGCCAAAAGGGGCTGACCAAAAATGAGCCAAAACTAGCTTCAGATAACAGACTAGGAGCCAATAATGGCTGACATAACCTAAGCCAAAATTGGCTAACAACATGTTAGCCAAAACGGGCTGCTCAAAAATGAGGCAAAACTGCCTGACAACATAGGAACCAAACTTGAATTGAAAGATGGGCTAGCCCCCAGGTCTTTTTTTCACCTCTCTTGGAAGACCATGGCTCTGAGCGAACCTACTCCTTATGCTTCCTTTTCTTTTTTGGAGCTCCCTCATCACCAGGCTCACCTTCATTTTCATTCTCCACTGCCAAAGCTCTGGTCAACAAGGTGTTCTGAGGGACAGCCACTGTGTTGGTCAACACAGGAAGTTTCACACCTTTCACTGTCATCATTTTCACTTCCATGTTGGGCTCTTCCTCCTCTGGAATGCTTTGGACATAGTGATAAGGCACCAACATTCCTTCAGCCTCCAAAGTAAACTCTGTCAAACTTTTGAAACTTTGGACAGCAAACTTTTCCTGCTGGAACTCCAAGATGACATTCTTGACCTTGGAAGAGTCTTTGCCTTTCAGAGATTGCACTGTGCCCATGGGGTAGAGCACCAACTGACCTTTCTTCAGCTTCTGGGAGCAGAACAAGCCTGGTCCAGGCATGGAAGCAAAGAGCAAAGAGCCATGCACCTCTGAAATGCTGCTTTGGAAAGCTTCCAGGAGAATGAGCTGCAGCTGTGTCTTCTTCAGCTCAGCTTTGAACACATCAGTGGTGTGTGCAATCTTCAAGCTTGCAACACCAGAAGGGCAAAGCTTGGGAGGCTGCCTCTTTGTTGCCTTCCACGTTTTTAACTTGCTGAACTCGACTTGAACTTCCTCAGGCACATCCAGCACAGGAGTATGGGTAAAAACCATGTGGTCTTCAGCAAGACGCACCAACACAAAGACCTTGTCATCATAGTCCTTGCACTGATAGAAGCCACCAAGCTTGAGGTGAGGATTGTCCAGAAGAGCCAACTCACTGCTGGAGGCTGACAGCAAATCTTTGACTTCTGGTCCTTGTCCAGTTTCAGCATTGCTTGAAGCTGCAGCAGACTGGGCAGAAGAGCCTTGCACTTCTTCTCCAAACATTTTCACTATGTCTTCCACAGACTCGAAGGGAGGGTCTCTTGAATGCTTTTCCTTTCCCAAAATGTGCAAAACCACCCTGCAGCCCAGCTTGCCCCAAGCCATCCTGGAACCATCACTGTTCCTCTGCTGGCAATGCTCCCGGGCATTTTTGAGAATATCTTCCATACTCTTGGTTTTTGCCTTCAAGGCACCTTTGAGCTTGTCCAAGTCAGACTTGTACACCAGCCTGCTTAAGCCATTCTCACATTTTTTGGTGGTGAGCATGCAACACAAGAGGGCTGCCCTGGTCATGGGCAACCTGTTGTTGTCCATCCTAAAGTCGAAGTGACTCAAATGGTGCATCATCTCACTTCCAATGAGGATGGATGGCCCATACTTGGTGCAGAAATCTTTCATCAGCTGCAACAAAGGAAACTCATTTCCTCCTGCGTATAGCTTCACAAAATGAGCAATGTCCACCAAATAGGGTGCACAAGCTGGCAGACCAGCCTTCACTGCTTCCACTGCTTCAGCACTGCTTCTACCCTGCTTCAAGAGACTTGCAATTTCCAGCATTGCTTCAAGTTCTGAAGTCACCTTGACATTTGCATTCGAAGAGTTCAAAGAGGCTGCAGCCCAGGATGGGAAGGTAGGGAAAGCTTCTTCCACTTCTGGCTTGAGAACCACCCATTGCCACCCTTCATTGAGTAGGCCTTTCAATTCAGATGGCACATGCAGCTTGTCACCATTGGGACTCATAGCTCCTTGCTCCAGGGCCCTGCAATACATCACCCAATGGCTGCAGCCCAATGTCAAATACGCTTCTTGCCCTTGCACACCACCAAGTAGGCCACTAGCTTTGTCACAGCAAGACTGGTTCTTTGCCATTTGCTCCTTTCTGGCTGCAGGGTCTCTTGCAATCTCTATGCACACAGAGCTGGCAGCCAAAAGGGAATGCTTCAGGCCAGTGCTAACAACATTTTCACCTTTCCTGTGCACATCGAAAGGGTTGACCATGGAGCCACCTCTATTCTGAGGGTGACACAACAGACTTGATGGCTTCAATACCATGTCTGTGGCCAAGCCATGCTTCTTCAAGATGGCCAAGGCATTGTCCAGCTTGGCATTGATGCCAAGAGCAGGGTCATCCAGCACTTTGGCCACCAAAGCCTTCACATGGCTATCCATGGCTTCCAGCCAGTCTGACCAACAATCAGGAAAGTCAAGTCCCTGGAGTGTTGTCGATTCATTTTATGTTTTGCATTTCTTTCTGGAAGTCGAATCTTGTATGTGTGTTGCTATAGAAGAGGCTTGCAAGACCATGCTTTCACCCACATTGTGGCTGACTATAGCCAAACAATCCAAAAGAAACATGCTTACACTTCAAGACATGTTGAGCCACAGTGGGCTAAAGTTGCTACAGCAAATGACATGAGCCACAAAGAGCTGGTGGACCTGCAAGTTTTGTAAGTATGAGCCAGAACCAGCTAGTAAAGAAACAATAGTTAAAGCGAGCCACAATGGCTTGTGTGCTGGCATTGGTTTTGAGCCATAACAGGCTAACAACTTAACTGCCCAACAGGGAAGCCACACAAAGGCTGCAATTGAGCCACAAAGGCTGAAAAGTATATAAGCCAAAAAAAAGGCTACTAATATTGGATCACCTTGGTTCAGCCAACATGGCTTGTCTTGCTGGCAGCTGATGTCTGTGCAGCTAAAACATTTTCCCCACTCTTGGCCAACTCAGCTGTCATCCTTCTTCTCCTGTCCCTCTTTGACCTTGCTGTAGTTACCAGATTTTTTGTATTGTCTGGCAGCTGGCTTTTCCAAGCAATCAGCCTGAAGGTATTTGAAGACTGCACTCAGCATGTCCTCATCCAAAAGGACTTGAAGGTCTGCAACCAATGCTCTTTTAGCAGGACACAGCAGCTTCACTGCAACTCCATGCACATCTATGGTCACTGTTGTTTGCACCTTCCTGCTTTTTTTGGAGACTGGTTCTAGTGCTTCACCACCTTCGTCATCCCAAGAGGTTGCCAAGCCTGTACCCTTCAAAGCTTCATTTCTGAGGTTCTTCAGCTCAGTCATCTTGGCACCATTACTCAAAGAAGCATTTTTGCAAGTCTTTGCACAAATCAAAAAATTGATTTGCTGATTGGTGGAGGCGAGCTTCACATAGGTGTTGTCATCATCATCCTGGAATCAAGGAAATATACATATGGCACTGGTTCATCTTGAAAACATATACAAACCATTTCCTTTTCCTGCCAACTACCTTGTTTTGCACATCACATGCACAGAGGTCCTTCACTAGCAAGGAAGAAGGGATGAGCACAGGCTTGCCATTGTCAAACTTCAGGGACACCTGGTGGCAAATCTCTACCTTGCCAGCTGGCACTTCATCCCCAACACCTGGCCCTTCCATTGTTTCTTGAGCTATGAGCCAAAGAGCTTTCCTGCTGTCCATGCAGAACCCAAACCCTAAATCCCTTTTGGCCAAGGTGGCCAATCTTTCTTGAATCATGTGGCATTGGCAAAATGATTTTGCCTTTGGCAGCACACAGGACACTCAACTGTCAAATTTGGAAATGAGCCTGCTGGCTTGTGTGTCAGCCAAAAAAGGCTACTGTGAAATATAAATTTCATTGTTTTTTTTTAAAAACCTTAATTTTGTAAAGTTATAACTCAGCTAACCATTTAGCTGAATTAGCTTTAACTGGTTAGCTAACCTTGGTAAACATGTATATTTTTCTTAACAGCATTAAGATGTTTAGCTAACAGTTATAAAAAAATAGTAAATATCATAATTCAATTGTCCTGTTTAGAGCAATTACTACTGACTTAGCATGCAGTTAACATATAGTTAGCATATAGTTATGAAACATGTATTAATTAGTGCAATTAGCATAACTAGATATCTAACCACCAGTTCATCTAAGTATCTCAGCTGCCAGGGCCGGCCAACCGCCAGCAGCGGAAGCGACTCACACCAGCGCTTCTGGTTGCTTGGGCGACTTGCCCTGCGCCGCTTGCCACGTGGGGGCGGGCGCTCCCGACCCCTTCGTTGCGTCGGCATCGGGCCGCGTGGGTGCCCTGGCGTCCTCCTCATCGTCGGGTCCAGCGACTCCGCCGACGCTGCGGCTTTGCTGGCTGCCACGTCGGCGAGGCGTCCAACCCGGGGCCACCGTCCCCTGGCACACCGCTGGGCGGCGAGAGGCAGCCCATGGCAGTCGACGCTTCGGGCAGCTATGGCCGGGAACGTTCTCCCCTCCGGCCAGCGCTCCCCTGACCGCGTTTTCTGCCCTGTCCCAGGATGCCCGGCCAGCATGCCTGGCAGCCGCGGCTGGACCTCCCATGCCGCTATGAGGTCCCATCTTGAGGACCACGCGGCCGGAACGCTTGATGGGGACGTCCCTCAAGCTTACCGTGTCCGCCAGCACCTTGACTTGTGCTCTGTGTGCGGGGGGTTGGTTTCTTCGCGCTACAATTTGTGCTCACCCACGCTGCCGGCCAGCTGCTCGTCGAGCTGCCGCGGCAGCCCCTGCCGCTGCTGCCCCCGCAGTTGCCGGCCCATCTTTGGAGACAGCCTGCGCTGCAAACACCCCGGTCCTGCGCCATGTCCCCAAAGCTGCCCGGGCCGTTTGGGCCCAATGCCTTTCACAAGTCGCCAGCACTAATGCCACTTTCATGGCCTGGGGTGCTTTCATGGCCTGGGGTGTTTTGCTTTGCTGGCTCAAAGAATGCTGATGCTGACGTGGTGGACATATGGTTTGCAACCAGTGTGTTTGTGTGCCACTGTAGCGTGTTGAAATGTGCAAGTTGACTTTGATGTTGTGACTGAAATAGATTATTGGATGACTCATCGTTTTGCAAGGGAAAAGAGGTAGGGGCTCAAGAAGATTGGCAGCTTTGTGCTTCCTTTCTTTTGCGTCGTGGAAAATATGAAAAGTTATAATTATGAGCAATCCCAATTTTCATGCCAAGTTATAATATTATAATTATGAGCAATCCCAATTTTCATGCCAGCACATTGACATGTGAAAAAAACATTGGCACACAACAAGGCAATGGTTTTCAAACTTGCATGCCATGTTTTCAATGCAGTTTGGTTGTGGCGGTGACAGCATCGGCGCAAAACAGTTGGACCAACATTGATGTCCTTTGGCCAGGCTCATGGCTCATGTTTGATGAATTTTGTTGTTGCAGGAAAGTGTTTATTGTACAACGCAGGGCAGATTTTATTTTCCAACTTGTCGTAACGTTCCCGCAAAGTATGTTACTTCTGGCCAGTTCTATTTGTTCAAGTGCAGACAGCCGGCTTTGTGGGTCTCTAGCCTGTGGTGCTCCTTCCTTCTTTCACGTCCTGCCCTTATTATTGCAACTGTGACAAAAATGCAAGGAGGAGATTTTTTTTCAGAACACGGTCAAGCTATTTCTGATTCCTGGAGACAATTTGAAGCGGTTGAGCTGAAAGATGAATCAAAACACGTGCATTTTGTAGGCCACAGTGTTAAAACCAAATCTCACGTTACCTGCAGGTCCTCCAGCATCGTCGTTGCAGATTAGATCAAAAGTGGAGGCTTGGTTGGTGTGGCAGCAAAGAAAGTGACACCACTGCTCAAAGAATCTGCAAATATTGGAGAACTGCATTGGATTCGATGAATTGGCCCCTATCATTGCCGAGCCCCTGACAGTTGCCCAAAGATGGCATCCAATTTATAAAATGTTATGTTTTGTGAATTTTCTTAATTTAGCCTGATAAATTTCGTGCCGTGCATCTTGCACAGGTTTTGGCAAAGCCTTGCACTTTGATTCTGACATCAAGAAATTCACAACACATAACATTTTATAAATTGGATGCCATCATATAACACAATCCCGCCTCACCGTTGGTCTCCAAACACCACAGTAGGCCACAGTCTGCCTGAATCAAGCAGCTGTTTCATAGAAATTGTCCTAGTCCGAAAAGACGCAGTCGTGCCCACGTGTCCAGAGGCAATTGCAAGAATTTCGAAGACGGTTGGACCTTTGAAAGGAGTTGCGTGGCAGTGGTGTTCTACTCATTGACATTTCTTGCAGGTGCATTTTTTTCAGATGCGTAGTATTTGTATGATCACTTGTTACTGCTTGAGTGCAGGATCGGGTGACTGTCGTTCCTCTGGGGCTGGTGCTTAGTGTTCCAGGCTTGTTTTGCCGCGATCAATTGCATCTGTCAATTCAATGTGCAATTTCCTTTGTATTGAGTTGTCGACGTGATTCAACTGCAGCGCTTGGCAGTCAAGTCAAAAGTTTCGGTCTGTGAGCATGAAACGCCCAGCTGCGTCAATTTCGAAACGACCTGCTGTATCCCAGCCGTCTTTGAAGCGCCCGGCATGTGCCAAGAGGAGACTGGCTTGGGCGGGTGGTTAGCTGATAAGAGATTAACATATGTCAGATTATTGAAGATGTTGGCAAATTGCATGTTGTAAGCCACCAAGAAGTCAAAAAAAACATGCATGTTGATCTTGTGGGTTTACCCAATGCCAAATGACGCAGTTTTGACGCAAGCGTATCTTGGCAATGGTTACGAGGCTGTCTTGTCTTGTTGACAGGTCATGAGTTTTTTCCTCATGCAGAGGCCAAATTCTTTGAGTAAAAACTGTTTAAGCCTATGAGAGTTTGTCACTAAAAAACATTTTTGAAGTATGAAACGATACACATGCAAATAGAAACTACAAGGGGGTTACCCTATGACCTTTAAAGTGACACCAACTTAAATATCAGGTGTAGATATATTCTTGCAAGTCTAATATCTGTATACCACACGCAGACCCATAGCATGCAAATGCACATTATAAAGGGTTTCTAACCGAGGACGGAACTAGAAATCATGCCAAGACAAGCCAGCATCCTTGGGTACTTTGACCGGGCCAGCCTTGAAGCACTGCCAATCCAGGAGGTTTTGGCTCAAGTTGTTATGCGGGCCTTGCTAAGGTTGGGGGTGTGTCCCCTTGTTGCTGCAATGACAGCAGCATGCTTTTTGCTTCTGATAGCGAACAGGCAGAGGTAAATCCAAAGCGCAGGCGTTCTTCGGGGGCTCGTGGCACATTTGATTTCTTGCAGCAGCCATGCAAGTGTCAGAGACGGATTTGTTGGCAGCAATTTCAGAGCGAGATCGAAGCTGTTAAATCCAAAAGGGCCGAGTTGGAGGGCCTGCCCCCTCATGAGAAGGCTGCGACCTTCCAAATCCAGTCCCTTCAGTTTAATTTTCAAGGTTTCTAGCCTAGATTGATTTGAAACTCTTGCCAAATCCAAAGCCGACCAGCTTGTTCAAAACTTGCCTTGCAGGAGACGTTCTTAGCCCAACTTTTCAATTGTAGACTGCAGCAACGCCAGATTGAAAGTTTTGCCATTCAAGATGCTGCTCCGGCACAACCTGACTTTGAAGCCACAGACTCTGATTGTCAGCTGTCAAGTTCCAGTGCTGATTTTTTTCAATCTGGTTCATCCCAATTTGCAGCCACTGATGATGACGAGGTGGTCTCCAAAAAGCAAGAGACCAACAAAGGAAAGCGGGATTACGCAACACGTCGGAAAGAGGAGGTGCAATTTCTGGGTCGGACAGTTTGCGTCAGGGCATGTGCCCGGTTGCTGTGAGTGGGCCAAACAACCATTCACAACATCCGATCTGGCAGAGGCGCGTACACAAAGTCAGCTGGTCGCAGGAAACTCCCGGTGCATCCAACATTTGGCTTTGCGATGAGGGGCGATGTTGCCGAAAAGTGGCCTTCCGTCGTCATGTTCCTTTGGTTCGTGTACCATTCGGCCGCTGAGTGCATGCCGACGGATTCGCTGCATAAGCTCAAGAAACCAGAGGCGATCAAAGAGGCCGCCTTTGTTGAGGACCGTGATCCAGACTTGAGTGCCAGGCACATCAACCACTTTGTTCGAACATTGCAAACTTACAACAGCGACATCGAAGTGCACCTCATCGGACCAGGAAGTTTTAAAGGAGAGCGCCGATATTTACAGCATGGTAGCAGGACTGAATTATTTTTTGAGTACATGGTCTATTGCCAAAGTAGGTCTGTGTCGCCTGCATCATATGGCACGTTCTTGCGGGTCACCAACAAAATTCTTGGCCCCTATTTGCGCAGCGGTTTTTTACATTTTCGAAAACCCAATGAGCATGGCAAGTGTGATACCTGCACCAGACTCAAGAGAAAAATGACCTTCAAATCTGGGCAAGCACAGGCTGAGAACGAAGGGATTGTCCGCGAATACAGCTCCCACATCCTGTCCCAGTGGCTGGATCGTCAGGTCTATTGGTCACTGCGAAGTTTCAGCCAGTGTTGGTTTCAGCAAGATGTTGGCCAGAGGACTGGGGTTTTTCATTGGTTTGACAAAATGGGGTTAGTAAAGGCTTTTTGTTACTTACCAGACCAGTTTCTTTTTGATTGATCCCCAGGATGTTGGCAGCTTCCATCGCAACCAACCTGGTGTGCGTAATGCAAGACGGCATGGACCAAGCAAAGTTTTGCTGTCCACGTGTGCAAGGGTTGGAATCGAAGTCAAAGCTGTTTTCTCAGCTGTACAGACCCCGCCTTCACGTGGCGGCAACTTGGGTACATGGGAGAAGATTCCATGTTGCTGTGAGTGACGAGGACATGCCCAAGGATGCAGTGTGTGAGATTGAGCAGCTTTCGAGAGCACTTGACGCTTTATTTCATGACGTCGGCGGCCTTCCTCTGGGCTTGAGTTGTCATTCAGACAACACCTATCGCGAGTTCAAAAACCGCCATTGCATATCATTCCTGATATTGCTCGTGGCCTTAAGAATTTTCAGATGGACCATGGCAAGTTTTCTCAGAGTTGGCCACAGTGGCTTGGCTTTAGGTGCAAGCTTTTTAAGCTGAGAACCCCCGGCTTGCATAGGGGAGTCTGAATGCCTCATGCTCTTGAGGCCACGAGGATGTGGATCAAGCTTTCTCAGTCCAAGCCGGGGTCATTGCCAGAAATGTTTTCGACAACCCTTCTGAGTTGATAGAGATTCTGGACAGTATGGGCCGGGCAGGTGGCGAGGCTGAGCAACTGAGGAAGCAGCAGAAAGTCTCACGAGTTGATTGCGAAGCATACAAGCTTGATGAAGCAGCGCAATGGAAAGACTGGGTTTCCATGCTGGGCATTCGGGTGAAGGGTTTGCGAAGCTGGGCTAGTTTGCTTTGTGAAAGTTGTCAGTCATCTTAGATTCTTAGATACCTGTTTGTTTCCACGTCCTGCAGACTTCTTGTTTGGTTTCGCCCCTGGATTAGTTGTTGTTTGCTGGTTTGAGCATTTAAATCCACCAAGGAAGGGTCGGGCAGATCCGAATCAGCATGCGGAAGGACATTGATCCCGGGTCCTATGGGAGAGTTGCTGTTGAAGAGATTCGCGGGAGCCAGTCTGCCGGAGAAGACATTTTGCTCTTGGCGAAAAAGTTCATGGCCGATCCTGAGCCTTACAGGGTTGTAACTGTTTTGACTGCTGAGCAGGCCGCGATCCTTAGAAGGAGTTTCCAGCAACCATCAGGAGTGTGGAGGAGGAGACTGATATCAGACAAAGTTCGAAAGAAAGTCTTGTCCAAAGTTCCTGCCTGCATCCAGCAAGGTCTCATATCCCATGAAGCCGGGGCCTATTTGACAAATTGGGTTGGTAGCCTTTTGCCTCGGCTGGCTAGACCACAGAGGTACAGTTTTTTGGCTCACCGCTCTGGTCCTGCAGATGGTCCTGGTCAGACCATGGCCTGGCAGGCTCGAGGTCGTGAGCGCCATGTTGATTTGAGCATTGCAGAGGATGATGATGGTGATTCAGGTTCGGACGAGGCTTACCAGCCAATTGAGGATGAATGACTGGGCGTATGCTGTGAAAAGGGAATCAGCAGTGTGATCTGGGCTTTTGGGTTCTTTAAAGTGTTGTTTCCAGCTGATTTCAGAAGTGGGTCCTTGTAAAGGTATGAGTTTCTTGATGGCAGCACTGATGGAGAAAGATGCAAAATGACCAGTTCCAACAAACGGGGCGCCAGAAAGAATCCGATGTCCAACAGAAGCTCATTGAGCACACCGCTTGAGACTCTAAATCAGTTCTTGAATCACAACAGGTTTTTGGTCAGACATATTTATCATCCAAAGTCCAACCCCTGAAGGGGCTGTTGCACTGTGCACATTGGAGACTCCTGCGGGCTCTGAATCAAGCCTAAAAGTAAAATTTGGAAGTTGGGCAGAGCAAGATTCAATTCGCAACATCAAGAGCAATTATATAATTTTACACCAGTTGATGTAATTTGCAGGAGGGACCACTGACTCACGGGCCTTTCACCCCAACCATGTCCTTTGGGATTTGCCGAAGGTGTGAGCGAGGTGAATTCTGCAATTACCAAAAAAAGAAAATGACTACTTTGTCAAAGCTCCACCAAGCATTTTCAGATTTGGTTTCTTGGTGCAGGAGCGGCAAAGATGAAGATGAGGCTGGCTCTGACATGATGTTTGAGAGCGAAGATGAAAGGAAGAAACTTGTCGCATTTTTTTGCAGGGCAATGGGGCCCAGCTGTTCAACAAATAATGCTGGGGAAATTTTGCTGTCCAAAGTTTTTTTTGGGTATTCCAATTTGGTTTTATCCCAGGAGTGTGCAGAACGGCACTGATGGAGCCGGAGATGGTGAGGATTCCGGTTTTTTTGTTGCGTCAGATTCTGAAGAGCTTCAAGACCCAGTGATGTCACAGCAGCAGAAGCCTGTTGCACCCGTTGACGCGTCACTGCTCCTGTCCAACGGGGTCGGAGTCGGGTGCCCAGAACCAATCCGCAAGACAATTTCAAGAATGCCATGCCGTGTTTTAGAGGTGAATTTCAAACATGCGGCCCTTTTTAAAGATATAGTGAGCTTTTGGTTGGCTGAGGTCGACAGCTACGTGCAGTGGGCATTTACTGCGCACAAGAATTCCTGCCTTGTAAGCTCATTCCAAGACACTTTGAAGTCATGCTCTGGAATGGCAAGGTTCCAGGAAGGAATCCCCATAGCATCAGTGTGCACAGGATGGGGGGTAGCCGAAATGGTGATGGAAGCCCTGAATGAGCACATGGCAGTGGTTTCGCCTGACATGCCCAAGGCCCATGTTCAAAGCCTTTGAAGCCGTGTCTGTGTGTGTCTGTGTGTGTGTGTTACACATGCGTACTGCTAGATTTTAGATATTGTTGCATCCTGTGTTTGGTCTTGGCATTCTCAACATTTTGTTTCTGCCGTGCTTCCCCTGGCCAGTTCGTGCCGGCCTTTCTTTGCGAGTCGGAGCAGTGGAAGGCAGACTACCTGTGCAAGGCTTTCCCAGATTGTCCTGTCATTTTCAGAGACATGAAGGAGTTGGGCCAAGGACATGCGCATGATGTTTTGACCGGGAAGAAAATCAAAGTCCCGACCGCTGCTAGGTTCCAATGAGCATTGACTTGATCGCTGGTAGAATTTGTTTTTTGAAGCTAGTCAAGTCCTGAAGTTTCTGCTTCATCCCTTCGAAGCATGCAGTCGAAACGTTGGATGTGTCAGCCCAGGCTGTTGGATTGGTCGCTGGATACCCCTGCTGTGGAATTTCGGCGCAGAATCCCAATCCGCAGAGCTTCCGCGACAAGGGGTCTTCTACAGGGGGTGGATATCATGCCACAATGCGGTATGTGCAGAATTCCCCACAAATCCAGTGGGTCTTACTGGAAAATGTGCAGCAGATGTTCCACACCCGTCGAAAATTTGGCAACGAAAAGCCCATGGACATACAAACCGCTGCCATGAAGAAGCTTGGCTTTGGATGCGCCTTTGCCTTGCTGCTCAACAGTTCCGAGTTTGGGCTTTGTCAAAGTCGGGCGCGGGCTTGGGTGCTTTATGTCCGAGGGACAAACGTCAGGCTTGGGTACTGATCCGTGTTTGGGTTGGAAACTTTTTGGGGTTGCGACAGCTATACCCCATGTATCTTGTCTTTTCAAATTGTATATTTGAGACTTTGGACGGAGCAAGGGAGCCTTATGTTAAACATATATGTTTTAAAGATTTTAGTTTGATAAAATTTATGATTTGTTTTTTGGATCTTTTTTAAATGAAAAATATGATGAAATGGTTGATGAAATTTGGTAAATTTCCACTTAGGTTGGTTCACCAAAAAAAGCACCCACAAGTCCCCCAAAAACAGTGGTTTCCCCATATTTTATGAAAGATTTTGGGACTTGTGGGGGCTTTTTTTGTGCGACCAACCCAAGTGGAAAATTAGCAATGAAATTTGTGTTTTTGTGTGCTGTTTTTTAAATGTATGTCTCAACGTTTTTGCTGAATTTTATGTTTTCCTTAAGGTTTTTTGTGATATTTTATACTTTTGCTTAAAAAAAACATTTGTTTGGTGAACATTTGATTTTTTCCGTACGAAGTTTTTAAAACTTTTTCGCGGTATCCGGAACCTTTTGCATCACAGTCTTTGAACCAAAGCAAAATGTGTTTTTAGAAGGATTTAGAAGGGATTTAACCCAAGAAAGGTACCAAGTGGCCATAACATAGACCCAAAATGGAGCCCAATCCAACCCCAACCCAACAAGTTATGGTTGAGCTTGCTCTCCACCCTCCGATCTGGCCCAACAGAAGCTATTTTTTCACCAAAATTGCGCAACAAAGCCCCACAAGTGGTCGCAACGTAGACCCCACATGGAACCAAATCCAACCCCAACCCAACAAATTTCGGTTGAGGTTGCTCTCCACCCCCCCATCTGGCCCAACATAGGCCATTTTGGCTTCCACAAGTGGCCACAACATATACCCAAAATGGAACCTGATTTTTTTTTCACAAAATGAACATCTAGAGATCAAGACATGGCATACCTTCATGAGGAGGAAATCGTCCATTTCCGGGACAGTCGTATCATCACAACCATGTGAGGGTCTACCGTCAAAGTTTTTCCCACCCCCAAGGAACTGGGACCGAGGACCCCTTTCAAAGGAAATCTTGTTAAGAGCGTCAATGACGAAAATGAGCCCTTGGTTTGGGGCTATATTCGTGCAATGTTGAGCTTATGTTAGGCCAAGAACGGCGTGTTCCTTTTTAGCTTTTACCCGGCCCAAAAGGAACACACCGTTTTTGGGCCATGTCGGGGAAATGTTGGGCCTACGTTGGGTTTATGTTTGTACATACCTGTGGGTGCCAATTTTCCACTTGGGTTCGCCCCGGAAAACGGACCCCACCAAGTGTCAAGTTTCCTTTGGGAAACTCAGGTTTTTCGGGGGACTTGGTGGGGTCCGTTTTATACACTTTGAAGGGGCCAAGCAAAGTCGCAAATTGCCACCTCCAAGTCTCTCAGCCTCATTTACTGCTGTTTTTTGTTTTTATTTTGCTGATTCAGGCCAGGCACAAAATAATGATAGAAAACGTTCCAGAACTAGGTTGCTTGGGGGATTCATAAATTTATTGTAGAAAAAATCGGACCAAGAGCCAAGAGTTTGCCCAACAATCTCCCCCATTCATGGCCCAAACACGAGTTGCCAAGCGTCTAGGTGTTTTTGTTTGGCCCCACTGGCCCAACATCATTCATACTGCATTAGTGCAACCGTTAACCCCAACCTCTAGGCCCAACATGCATTCAACATGAGGTGTTCAGGGGGATACCTTCCAACATTTTAAAATATCCAAGTGAAAAGGTTTCCAATTACTTGGTTTGGTGTGGGCTTGGTTTATGCCCCGTACCCCATGTAGGTGCTAAAAGACTGCGGCCTGCAGTGGCGGCTTAGAGGTAATCATTGCTCTTGATTTTTTTTATGAATGAAGTTTAGCAAAAAACTTTTTGAGCCCAAACCTTCCAAACGAGAGAAGACAGAGAGAACATATTTTTTTGGGGGGAGTCTTTTTTTTGGGGGGCTGAACATTTTCGTTGAAGTTTGAACATTGTTTTGTAGTGTGCATTGTCATTGTCAGGCCTGGCAATGCTGAAGATTTGGTGCGCACTTTGCAGATCAATGCCAAGCAGCTGGGTTTGAGCAGTTTCTTGCGAGATGCCGATGCTGCTGGTGTCGGGTGTGATTCCGTTCAGGCCAAGAAGAGCACGCGGCAAGGTGAGAAGTGGAAAGCTGGCTTTAAGTCATGCTGTGAGCGCTTGGGGTCCGAATCTTGACAAGTCATGGATTTTTTTTATTTTTGTTGTGGCCATGGTTGTTTGTCTAGGTCACTTACGGAGCAAGGGTTGCTTCCATGTTTGGGCTTTCTTTCTGGAGGGTTTCCAGCCAGCTGGTTAGGACGAAGTTGATCGCAACCTGAAAAAAATCTTGGTCCTCACAAAGAACGCCGTTCTCTTGACTGAGAGGGAGATAGCCTTGCTAGCTGTGGCTATCACGGAAATGTGTCAAGCAGGCCTCAGTCCATATCAAGAGCGTTATGTGGTGCAAATTGCTTTTTGGTTGCATTGAATGTGTTTTTGCGCAATGATGTATCCAAAGTATTGCAAGATGCAAGCTTTATTCAACTGTCAGAACTTTGAGGGCAGTGGTGTCCAACGTTCTAGATCACAACATTGCAGACCATCCCGCCGTAGCGGAGCACAAATGCCTGATGCTATTAAACTACTTGGTTTCATCAAAGGCAGTTAGGTATTTTTCGTCATTAAAAAACAGAATAGCTTTTGGGATGTTATCGGTGAGGAGTCCCAGCTTGAGAGCTGAGGACCAAAATTTCGACCGACAGACATGGTTGCGAAAGACCCCTGGCCTACTTCCTTGCCTTCTTCCCCACGGCAAATACATGTGCACTGTCCGCTGGAGCCTTCTTGGAGCAAAGGACAGTTGTCGCGATGATCCCCAATCAACTTTGCAAACTTCCACATATCACCTGCCTTTTTATAGTTTTCTAGCGCTTCATGTCAGAGTGAGTTTGGAAACAAAAACCAGTATGGAAACAGTTCTGCGCCAGATTAACCTTGCAACATGATCCAGGAAAAGGCTTTGTTCCAGGGAGTGGGTCCTCGCGAGTACATGCGTTACAAAATGTCCGATCTGTCGCCGCACCAGCTGTCAGACATGGTCGGGAATGCGTTCCTTTGGCCGCATTCCTCAGCTTGTCAAGCCATTTTACCAGATGCTACTTTTCACCATTGTCATTTTCGGTTCTTCTTCAGCTTGGCAAGCCATTTAGCCAGATCCTACTTTTCACCATTGTCATTTTTTGTTTTTTCGAGAACTTACAGACTAAGGTTCTCAGCGCCTGTTTTCCTCTCTGGATTCATGACGGCTGTGGCCATGTGGAATCCTCGGCATTTTGAGCCATGATGAGGCTTAGCTTGGCGGGAACTATTGTGTGACTTCACGCATTCAGTTGCGCGGTGGTGGGAACTGAAACGTTTGCAAATTTCTGCTTTGCACAAATTCATGCAGTCGCAGAGGCTGACTCTTTAGCAGATTCATCAGATGGTCCGAGTCCAGGGGGTTAAAACAGATTCGATTTTCATGCTACTTGATTGCGATCAGCTGTCTTGAAAGCTGGCCAAACATGGCAACCACATGCGTTTGGTTTTTGATGCGTAGATTCAAGACAACAAATGTCCAACCAAATTTAGACGGTGGCTCAAAGGCCTTATCTAGATCCATTGGGGCTGGCAATGGCCCCTCAAAGGAAAAGGTCAAAGGGTGGGCTCGGCGCAGCAGCGCCGGCCGCAAGCTCTGGTGTGGCGCAGGGCGATGTTCCTTTGCCTTCCTCGATGAACATGGTAGGAGCTCTACAGAGAGATCTTGCTTTGTGTGTAGAATTCATGTACAGCTTGCGTCATGGACTCCAAACAAAGCGGCCGCTTGAAAGTGAACCCGAACATTGTGAGCTTCTTTCGGGAGTGCCAGTTCCAGGTGATGATGGTGCTTACCCCTTTCCGATTTTGGGAGGGGGGACTTTTATGGAAATCGCTCAGCGAGCACAGTCCGGTGAGGAAGGCGCGTGGTTGCTGAAGGAGAGTGCCGAGATGTGCTTTGCTGCCGGCTACTTGGAAACTGCAGACCCGGAGGAGCTGAAGGAGAAGTACATGACACCGTCAGAACATAGGTTTTAATTCATCAGAATGTCTTATTTTGTGCCTGTTTGGATTGTCTGTTTTTGTTGGACTTGGTTTCGGGAGATGTCACAGATTTACAATATGGCCTTTTTGCGTCGGAATCTTTTTTGCAAGGTGTGGCCACCAGAGTTGGGCCTTCAATTCAGCACGAGCGTCTTGTGCTGGAGCTTTGCAGACGAGAGCTTCTGGAGGGGCCGGTCTGTTGGGATGTCCGAGATTGTGTCCTACGCCAAGTCCATGGCTGTCACAAGGTTCCGTGAGGCGCGCAGTGGGGAAGCATTTCAAAAATCATCCAACTTATATTAGGAATTTTGAGTTTCATTATATCCAACCCTTTTCCCATGGGGAGATTTCTGTGTCTCAATTGGTGAGATTTTTCACTTGGCGAGATTTTTCACTTGGCGAGATTTTTCACTTGGCGAGATTTTTCACTTGGCGAGAATTTTCACTTGGCGAGAGTTCTTGCTTGGCGAGCTGGTTTGCGACCAGCTCTCCATAGATTTTTCGGGGCCCGATTTAGATTTACAGTTTGAGTTTAGGGTTTAGGGTTCGAAGGTCCAAAAATTTGGGTGCGGCATGGACATTAAGGGGGCTTCAAGGGATTTGAAAAGAAAAAATATTTTTAATTTTTTGTGTTAACAATTTTGTTTGGAGAGCTGGTTTGCGACCAGCTCTCCATAGATTTTTCGGGGCCCGATTTAGATTTACAGTTTGAGTTTAGGGTTTAGGGTTCGAAGGTCCAAAAATTTGGGTGCGGCATGGACATTAAGGGGGCTTCAAGGGATTTGAAAAGAAAGAAAATATTTTTATTTTTTTGTGTTAACAATTTTGTTTGGAGAGCTGGTTTGCGACCAGCTCTCCATAGATTTTTCGGGGCCCGATTTAGATTTACAGTTTGAGTTTAGGGTTTAGGGTTCGAAGGTCCAAAAATTTGGGTGCGGCATGGACATTAAGGGGGCTTCAAGGGATTTGAAAAGAAAAAATATTTTTAATTTTTTGTGTTAACAATTTTGTTTGGAGAGCTGGTTTGCGACCAGCTCTCCATAGATTTTTCGGGGCCCGATTTAGATTTACAGTTTGAGTTTAGGGTTTAGGGTTCGAAGGTCCAAAAATTTGGGTGCGGCATGGACATTAAGGGGGCTTCAAGGGATTTGAAAATAAAAAGTACTTTTTAAAACTTTTGCGTTAACAAATTTATTTGGAGAGCTCTCCATTGGTTTTTTGGGGTGTCCCACAAATGATTTGTTCCCGTTGCTGGAAAATCTCTCCGGAAATGGGCTCTTACCTAACCTTCATCTAAGGAGAGCTGGTTAGAAACCCAGTCTCCAAAGGAAAAGGTAAACCTTTCATAGGAGGAAACCATTTTTTTAGCACAATATATATAATTATATAATATTATATATATACCTTAAAAACAGGCTGGCTGTTAAATACCAGCTTTACTCTTTGCTTGGAGAGATGGTTTCAAACCAGCTCTCCGTCCAGCCATTTTGGAGTAAGCCAGCTTCAGGAGAGATTTTGGAGGTCCGGCCAACATGTGGGCTAGGGTTTTCAATTTTCTTTGGAGAGCCGGTCGCAAACCCACTCGCCAAGCAGGAAATCTCGCCAAGCAGGAAATCTCGCCAAGCAGGAAATCTCGCCAAGCAAGAAATCTCGCCAAACAAGAAATCTCGCCAAGCAATTAATTTTTCCTCAGGGGTTCTATGTTTTGAGGATCGAGTTTTCCAGATGGCTTTAATTTCTCCTTTTCCTAGTTGTGGATTAGCCGAACGCTATAAATGGGATGAAACACGATGAATCCAATGTCATGTGGCCACATTGCAGGGTGAGTTGGTCGTGGCACGGTTCTTGCAATGGCCGCCGGAACCTTTGGGTGATGACCAGTCCTTATTTGGCACTTTGTACTTCGGAGATGGAAGTCAAAAGATGTTAGCAGCAATGACTGTCTGGATTGCCTTACTTCTTTGCTGGCGGCACCATGGAAGTGAGGGGCTCCAGGACAAGTTTGCTCAAGCCATGGTGGCCTCCTTTCTCAGCATCCCCAGCATTGTCAAGGCAACTGATGCCAGGGGATCCCAGTTAGAATCGATCATCAACCGCATTGTGTCTCAGAACTTGGCTGCAAAAGTGCAACCGGTATCATCTTTCGCTTGGTCCTCGATCCTGAAGGCTGCGACCGGAGACCGAGTTCACCAGACGACCTTTGAAGATGCCCTGCAAATTTACAACTCCCACCCGCAGGTTTTGGCACACGACCGGTCGGACACTGGCACGGGGTCAATCTCATTGGATGCCAGGAAAAAGCAAGGAGTGAGGCATTGGATGAATTCAACAGGGACTGAAGCGTACGAGGAGGTCCTCAAATCAACCCACGACCTGCCCTTCAATTTAGGTCCTTTTGGTGAAGCATTCAGCTTCACGAAGTCTTGCTTCATTGGATCGACCAGCGGATTGGAGGTTTGCAGTGAGACCGACGCAGTTTCCTTCCCAATGGAAGGTGAGGCCTTCGTAGAAGTTCCTTGACTTGATTCATTCCAGGAAGACATGATCAGTGCATACTTAGTAGCTCTCACTCGGTATCTCTCTCTCTCTCTCTCTCTTTCTCTTTCCCTTTCTCTTTTCCCTTTCTCTTTTCCCTTTCTCTTTTCCTCTCTCTTTCTCTTTTTCTTTCTCTTTTTGTTTTTCTTTCTTTCACCTCATGTGGTTCTTGATCTGCAGCCTCTGTGAGGTTGACTGGTCTTTGCCCATGACTGCTGCTTCTCAGCACCTGTTCTTCCAGAAAGTTCGGGGCAAGTTTGCAAGGGCCACGGTTGGCATTGGCGCAGCGCAGAAGAAGAAGTACAGGCTCAGTCCAGATGAGCTTACCCGTGTTCGGAATGTCTCGGTTTTCTTCAGCCAAGTATGGTCCTTCCTCTCAGCCCGAATTCCGGAGATCGAGGCCACCCAGCTTCGAAATCTTTTCATTGAAGGCACGTCTGAGGACCAAGATTTCCTGCACCTGTTGGACTCCAGGCCATCCAAGTTTGCCTTGAGTATGCTCAGAAGCCGGACAGAAGAATCCCGCAAGCAAGAAGCTGAGAAACAACAGATGATTCACAGTGAAGTGGCGCAGCAGCGCGAAGCAGTGACACAGGCTCAATGGGCGTGGTTTTGTTCCGCCTTGAAAGCGGATCAGTCTTTGCTTCAAGTGGTCAACCGTGTACCAGCTCAAGTCAAAGCAAAGCTCCATGCCAAAGTTGTCCAAAGGAGGAAAGAGCAAGCAGAGTCTGGCGAGAGAGCGACGAAAGGGTATCAGGAGAACGTTCAGTCGATGTGTGCTTGTTCCCAAGCTCATGTTAACATTGTGGTCTTCATCCTTTTTACATGGGCAAAACAGGGGTAGTCCCTTTGCCAAGATTTTGTCTGCTGACCGCTGCAGGAGGCTTACTTGAGGGTCGTTTCAGTCGCCAAGATGGAATTGATGATGGCAGAGGTTTCAAAGATGAAAGCTCAAGTGGCTGCTTGTTTTTACCATTAGTTTTGTGCTTTCCATTTGGGTACATTTCGCTTTGCCGGCAAACCAACAGTTTCTTGAAATAGAATTGCCGTGCGTTCATTTTTTAAAAAGCATATGACACATATTCTATATAGATATATACCAAGTAAATAACTAATATTTAATATACAGTAATACACATACTAACTACAAACATATTGATGTTCTACACATGTTTTCCCTAAGTTTTTATGCAAACAGTCGGGGCTGCATATGATCCCAACGGCGGTCGCCATGCATTCTGTCAGGCTTCCGACGCAGGAGTCAATGGGGACAATGTGGCCATCCTTGGCATGTGCGATTTCAACGCACCTTATGCAAGAACGAAGGACAATTGTGCTGCCTTGTGCAGAGGAATTTCTGCCCTGAACGAATCCAATCCACAGAAGGCCGCTTGCTTGGTAGTGATGCCGGATTACGCTCGTGAAAGCAGTCCCAGAGGTTTGTGGGACGAAGAACGCCAAGTGATGGAAGAGCTCTTCAGCCTCAACCAATCTTGCGATTGCAGATGGATCGACCTATATGCCAGGGAGTCCAAGAAGGCTGACATGCGTTCCAATTCTCGCAAGTTTGGCTCCGGGAGGATGGTGGTTTCAGCTACTTCTCAGGAAGACAACGTGTGGATGGGAGGTGAGTTGGCCGTTTACGGCCGTGTTGTCGGTCCAAACGAGCTGCAGGATGGTGGTTCTCCGTTGGCAGTGCTGCCGCGAACAGCATCAATTTTGATCCCTGAAAGTGCAAGCCCGGACTTTCGGACCAAAGCAGAGTAGACCAGTTTTAAACTTTCCTTTTGTTGCAAAAAGAGAACTTTTCCCAACAATGGGTGGGGCTGCTTTCTTGTTGGAGTGGCTTGCCACAAGTTCCCTGTGGACCATTAAGGACAATGTCCGCATCTCCGATCGCTTACGACCAAGCAACGAGCAACTATCGGCACAAAAAGGGGCCCAAAGACTTCAAATGATTTTGGAAAGTGCCTTGCGTCATTGCAAGTTTGACGCGGTCCTCGTGGTGAACTTAACTGGATACGTGGAGGAGCTGGCAGTGGCGGCCTCTTGTTGCAGTCTTGTACATGTTGCTTTCAAGGTTTGATTTTTAATGTTTGACAAAGTCGAAATCAATTGCCCTGAAATGTTGCCGGCCCATCTTTTTTCTTGACCATTTGGAGCCTTGTTCAGGTCATGAACTTGCGTCTCAAGCAGACAATGGCAGGAGAAGGAGCTTTTGTCAAGCTGAACAAGTTGTACTACCTGAGTGTCCACACCTTGGACAATGCCGAAAGTGTGCGTTTTGCGAAGAACCGTGTCGGCCGGGAGCTTCTTGATTTGTGGGTTGACAAGAAGATTTCGTTTGGTGGACTGGCCTTTGATGACACTACAGAGAGCCTCACTACTTCCGATCTTCGTCTAGAGTGGAGCAGACAGTTTTGCCGGGTTTGTTGAGGGTTTTAATTCCTTTCTGCGTTCGTTTTTTCCCCGTGAGCATTAGTCAGCTTGTTGTTTTGTTTTGAAGGTCCCGCTTTTCATAGAAAGCTGAACCTGCCTCTGGTCCTCAGGAGAAGCAGGAGATTGAAGGCAGCAAGTATGTAGATGCCCCGGACACTTTGGAGATGAAAGTGCTGGTGAAGTCGGGTCACGACTTCAAGATTCACCCTGACCAAGTTCGCCAATGGACCAATATTGGTGGAGAGGTCACCGCCCAGTTGCTTGTTGTTAGAAGGGGTTGAAGTTGGGGTGGGAAATTGTTGCCTGCTTCCGGTTGATGGTAAATGTGATATCTGGATATTTGGGATTCCTCGGCCACCCATCTCTTTCTTTGCAATTTTCCTAGGTTTGAAAAGCTGCAAAAAGTCCATGAAGATCAGTATCAGAGCCTCTTGAAGAACATCATCCAGCCAGGCCCATCTCCGAGCGTTGACGCCGCGGCTGCGGCGCAGGAAGAGAACAAGGAGGAGGATGGGGGCGCGGTTGTTGCTCCAGAATTCCAGACCTTTGAATCTGTGGCGAAGCTTCAAGAGTCAGAGGAGATCCTCACTCGTTGCGCTTCTGAGGTGACGGGCATCGAGATTGTGAAAACGAAGTCTGGCAAAGTGTTCCTTGTTTCCGAGAAGAAACGGATCCTGCCCAAGCACACATTGCTGGGCGGGTTTGGAACGGGAAAGTGCCTTGGTTGGACGCATGCCTTGCCCATCAGGGATTCCCAACGTATTCCAGATTCAGCTGCGAAGGGGCTCTCAAGAAACCAACACAGGTCACGTGTTCCATGGAGAACAGCCTATTAATCATCAATCATTATTATTAATTAAGTGCACTCCTTGGGCTTGCAGCAACCGTTTGGGGCTTTCATCAATGTTTGCCGTCTAAGGTATCAGCCTTTTGATCCAACTGCAACAGAAGAAGAGTCCAAGTGCGTCAAGCTGTCTTGGACTGAAGGAGACCGAACGGTGATACAGATCGACATGAGCACGCTTCAGCCAGATTCGACAACGTTCGATACAATGTCGGTCTACAAGTACCTGCTTCTTCTTGAGAAGCACAAAAAAGTGACGGCTTATGACCTGTCTTACACGCAGTGTTCCAGAGTGTCCGGTTCTGAAGGTTTCAACATTGCCCCTAAGGATCTGCATGTGTACAAAACCATGCCAGACTTGACCAAGCCGCTGACATGCAAGTCAGTGTTTTGGGATTGTGCTCTGTCCGTGAAGAAGAGCCACGGACTTTTGGATGTTTTCCGTTACCGGTTTGACCGCGTGAATGCGGTCACCAAGGTTCAGAAGCCATACGTTTTCTCAAAGGTAGCGCTTAGCTTGGAAGCTGGTCAGCCGATGGAAGTTGCATGAGTCGCCAGGCAACTCTAGTCTAGCGTGGTACTGCACGGGTGAACCGACTTAATGTTGCAGAAAAAATGTATGGTCCATTTTCCGAGCAACACTTTGTTCTAAATGTTGGTTGTGGCGATGAATGCTCTTTGCGTATAAGCTGCCAGAAACTTGGCCCAGTGTCAGTCCAAGTGCTGTGTCAAGTTATCAAGTCTCATTGGCCCTACCTTGCGCATTTGGTGCGTCAAGTTGGACTGATACAGGCAGAGCATGGCAGGGCAGTATAGCTCCAAAACTAGCCTCTTTGAATCTGCTTCTTTGAGGCTGAAAACAATCATCCAAGTAGCTGGCAGCAGCCGTGTTTTTTTTAAAGCATTCAGCTTGCTGTAATGAGCCTTTACAGCTTTGCGACCCAGTGATTTTCTGTTGAGCCGGCTGTGTAGGTTGAACATTTGGCTTGGAGGACGGGAAAAAATCATGGCCAGCTGATGGCTTCGCAGCCTTCGCTCAAAGATGCCGTACGCAAGGAAGTCAGGAGATTGCTTGACCGAGATGATTTTAACAGCGACTCTGGGGCAGACTTGGCTCTTGATGCTTTTGAGACCGCTGCAGCAGAGAGTCTTCAGGGGAACCGTGAACCTTCCCCAGAATGTCGCAGTGACAAGGCCCCTGCAGAGACTCAGAGGAAACCTCAACTTGATGGTTCCCCTCTATCTGCAGAGTCGATGTTTGGTGAGATCATAGTCTCTGAAACAGGTGCGGCTCCATCAAGCCCAGCCACTGTCAGCCCATTGGTGCCGCAGACCAGGGTGGACCCAGAGGTCCCATTGACCAACAAGGATCTTGACGCCAAGAAGACCACGGTGGAGCCAGAGGTCCCGCTGAGCAACAAGGATCTTGTCGCCAAGAATGGCGGCCATCAGAAACCAGACCAAGATAACAAAGTCGCCAAGGGTGGTCTTGCTAGTAGTGGCAGTATGGAGTTTTATGCCACTGAGTCTGAGGCTGGACATGATGATGAATCAGAGAAGCCACTCCCCCGCAAGGGTATGAAAAGGCCAGCAGCAGCACAACCAGAAAAGACCAACAAGAAACCGGCAGCTTCTTTTCGAGGTCTCAAGCGGCCGGCTGCTGCCGTCAGCCCAGACAAGGAGAAGGAGGCTGCTGAGTCCGAGGCAGGTCTCATGCCACCGGCTGCTGAGGAGGTTACTGCCACCCCAGAAAAAGAGGAGGAAGTTCGTAGTGATGCAGGTCTCAAGCGGCCGGCTGCTGCGCCAGCCAAGAGTGCCAAGGTTTCCACGAAAAAGCAACCAATCAGCTCTTGGCCTTGGACTGATGTGGAGGGACAGCAGCACTGCAAGGAGATTGTTTGCGGAGATTGGGAGGCCCGACGTTCCAAATTCACGTTCTTTTGCTATAAGTATGTAGGTCAGTTTCAAGCCAATTTTGGCAATGTGTCTGGGGCGTCCCTGGTGTAGGTGAAAGAGTATGTCCGGAAAAGTGGCAATCTTCAAGGAGAAGCTTACCGACTGTATCAGTACCAGCCGACAGGCCGGGTGTACAAATCTTTGAGCAGTGCTGAGAAAGCTGGTTTTGTGCCTCCTGATCCAAAAGACGTGGATTGAGGATCGAATCTGAAATTTTCCTTGAGCTCCAGCGATGCGGCAAAAAAATCTTTTGCACAGGGTGAGAATTTCACAACTCACGGCAGATCCACTTTGTGCGGTGCGCAGCTCTCACAAATCCATCGCGTGTCATTTTGGCTATTTTATGACGTGCCAGGTTTTTCATTCCCGTGAAGATGGCAACATCACTGGAACCAGAGCCGGTGCAAAGTGAGTGCAACCTCCGCACCAAAGTTTATTTTATGCGGTGTGTTATGCCTTGTGAGCCTGTGCCCCCAGGGCCTTGGCCCCCCAACAAAGAGTCTCTTGAACCACTTTTAGAAAAAATGGTTTTGCCAGATTCTCTGGTTCTGTGTTATACTAGTTTGAGCATGGGGACGGTTGAAGATGATCACACAGTGGAGCCCGTTGTTTTGATGTATGGGGAACCGACTGCCACTGCCCTTCAGCGTCGTTACGGGATGCTAGGATGCATTTAGGATAATGTGTTTTGACATCTTCACATCACAGTGCTTGGTCAGAGCCAAACATTTGATTTTGTTTGGCGCAAAGGATGATGTTTGAGAATATGCTGGCCTTCGTTGGCAAAGATTTGGCTTTGCAGATTTTTTCACGTACGTCCAGCGACAAAGACTTGCCCGGCCACACATCTGTGGCGTCGATCCATGCGAGCAATTTTTCAGTGGAAGCTGATTCCATTATGATCAAGGTCGACCCAGCTTTGACTGTGCACGACCATTCCCGGCTTGATTACGTTACAGCCAGGACTGGCTGCTTCAACTTGTTTTGGGGGAATTCATTTGCATGCTGCATAATTCTTTGTTGGCCCATGTTGGTCTCCAGGAACGTGGAAGATGGCAGCGCATGCCTTACTGCAAGGGTCAATGTGTGCTACCACAAGTTTAAGCTCCTTCAGCGGTGTGCATTGACGCTTATCTGTGCACTTTGTTCTAGTCTTGGGGTGGGACACGGGTTCTATGATCAGCATTATCTCCAGCTGTGTTGGCCTCCAACAGTTTTTCAGTGCCCTTTCTTCCCGGCTTCTGATGGTTTTCCGATTGCACCTTGCTTTTCTTTCTGGTTACTACTTAAGGAGAAGACAGACAATGAGCAGTGCTTGATGCACCTCCTTGCGCTCGATGGCTTGTAGCAGGGGTAAGTGTCCTTATTGTGGCTGATGACGGCCTTATCGTAGGTGGTGTTGGAGAACGCAGTGTGTGGTCAGGAAGAAAAGTTGCGCAAATCATTCCGCGGTTCAAAGGGTGTTCAGGCTTCACAGCCCTGTTGCTGTTCATCGGATGCCGCGTTGCAGAACGCAGGGTTTTTGCGCCCGTCATTTGGGGGTGGGTCCGAGTTTGTTTTCCAAAGATCCAAATTTCGTTTCTTGATTTTCATTTTGGCATCGTCCAAATTTATTTCTTGATGTGTTTCGGCATCGCATTGTGGAGTCCTTGAGCCCCATACTCTTGATGCTGCACTTTGAAACCCAGACCCTCAACCCTGAAATACAAAGCCTGATATAAAACCTGCAACCCTGAAATTCCAAACCCTGAACGGTTTCTCCCCCTTGGCCCTTAACATTAACGTTTAACTACACATCGTACTAACCTTGAATCTTGCTTGCTGTAAGGTTGAAGTTTTTTGAACAAAAACTAGGTTGAGCCACGTCCGGCTGCTTTGGAATGCCGCGCAAAAGTGCCCAGTACTTCGCATCGACCAGAAAACACAAAACCTCAGGTGCCAAGGCCTAGGTCTCATAAGTTAAAAGCCTAGAGATAGTAACAGTTTAAGGAGCTCAAAAGATTCAAAAGCCAGCTTACTAAGACGAGAATGGTATTATCCATCATGGTAGTATGTAGATGGTCGTGAGCGTAACAAGTGACGACAGTGATGATGGATGAGCCTGAGGTAACTACGGTGTGATGCCAATGATCGTGATGATCGATGATGGATGACGACGGGTGATGAGGAATGATGATGGATGATGGTGGGTGATGATGTATGATGATGGTCGATGATGGACGATGACGATGCTTTTGCTGGGGGTGATGATAATAATGACAATGATGGTCGCATGGATGATGCACAATATTTGATAATGGTGACGATGAGGATGATTTGCTTTTGCTGCTTAGGAAAAAAGTGGGGAGGATGAAAATGCTGATGATACTGATGATGCCGATGATGATGATTGATGATGACGATGATTGAAGATGATGATGATGATGATGATGATGATGATGATGATGAAGGGGATGATGGTCATGGTGATGATGATGATGATGGTGATGATGATGATGATGATGATGATGATGATAAGTAAGCTTATTCGTGTGTATGCAGCAGCTGCTGCCCCTGGACCTACTGATGACCTGCTTCTGCTGCTGTTGCTGCTGATGGTGGTGATAGTGGCTGGTGATGTTGATCATGGCGGTGATCATGTTGATTTTGATGTTGATGCTGCTGATGATGATGATAATGAAGAAGATGAAGGTGTCGATGGTGATGATGATGATAATGATGATCATGATGATGATGATGATGCTGATGATGGCAGCGGTGATGATTTCCACATAACCATTATGGTTTTTGCTGCAGCAGAATGGTTCCTCATCCAAGCTTGGCTTTGTTTTTCTGTTGCAAATTTCATCGGGCGTTTCGCTGTCATTTCGCATTTTGCTTGTGATTTCAGGACATGTGTTTAACAATTTTGTATGCCGCATACTGACAATGGAACGTCGTGTCAGTTAGCTTGTGCTGGCGCAATCTTCTAGCAGACTCTTTATTCAGAAATAATTCTTGGAATCATTTGCTGAAAGCAGGACGGACTGCGTTCAAGTGTCACTGAACGGTTCAATTTGTTCAATGTGGTTGCAACGTCCTTTAGTGGCTTTACTTAGTGCCCCGTTTTGAAACGTTTTGACTTTGCCGAATTTGGCACCGTCGAATTTAGCAATGGCAGCTCCTACCATTGAGACTTGTGACTTTCGGGACGCCACGGTCAGCCGCTGCAGGAGGACGGACGAAGGTGGTTGTAAGATTGAATCGATGGTGCCGACCAAAGAGTGGATGTCCAGTGCCATTCATATGATGAGACTTCCTGATAGCCTGGTTCTTGGGTACAATAGGTTGCTGGCTGTCAGTTTACCAGACTTGGGAGACGTGGTCTTGATGCTTGGAGCTCCAGAAAAGGAAGGGTCGCCACCGAAATCAAGTGCGATCCTTGTCTTTCACAGTTTCACATGTTATTACAGTGAATGGCTTTTAGTAGCTCAAAGTATTGCCATGGGGCATGGCCTTTGTTTTGAGCATGTTGCCGCTGATTTGCTTGTGTCGCTAAGGATCCTGTTTCGCGACTACTTGTACCGCTTCGAACCGGAGGTCAACCAGATGTTTTTGACCAGTGAGAAAGATGATGGCCTACCCGGCACAGGGTCTTGCTGTAAGTTATATGGGGAGGACTTCAACATGGAATGCAGCATGGTGGGTTTCAAGGCAGACCCCAAATTGTCCATCCGAGACCCCAGTTCCTTTGGTGTCCGTGACTTTGCAGTGATTCTTGCCATTCTTGGAAGTTACTTCCAATCTGAGAGAAAGGGTTTGGGAATTTATTTTTGCAAGTTTTGCACTTGGTTGTTCCAAAGCTCCAGCCTGAGGAATCTCCCTGGTGAGCCTCAGGATGAACGTCGATGTGTTCTCGTGGAGGTCTGCGAAGAGAAGTTTCGTTTACTGGCACATTTGGTGAAAACGCGCTTGGACTTAGATAGTAGATAGGTTTGGAAACCTCTTTATGTCTGACCCTCCTTCTTACCTTTTGGGTCGTTATATTTTTTAAGGCATATTCTGGAGCGCACCAAGGCATCAACAGCTTACTGTTTGAAGCCTGCTGAGTTCATGGGCGTGAAGCCGTGATTTTGTTTTGGGATGAATGCCACTTTCAAGTACCAGTGGCGCTGGAGAACATATCGAGACAAGTCGATGCTGCCAAAAAAAACCGTGCCGATTGCATGCCTTTTTTGTTGGTCTGTCTCAGTTCCCATGAGGAGCAGAGCCTAAGGTAGTGTCCAAAGAAGAAATGCAAATTGGGACCCTCAGCCTAAGTCCTAGCCTTTATCCTTAACCCTTAGCCATGTAACCCTTAGCCCTTAACCTCAACCCTTAGCCCTTAACCCTGAGCCCTTTTAATCCTTTACGCGTTGACCCTTAACCCTAGCCCTAGCCTATTATTAAAAAAATGTATTCCATCACATAAGCTTCGGATTGATCCCAAGGCCCATGTCTCTTGAAATGAGTATTGAAGGCTAAGGTCGCTGTCTCACAAATACTCCAATCCCCGTCCTGGACCACTTTTGAATTTGGTTTCGAGCCGCCGAAGAAGCTGAAATAAAAGATGGCTTGACTTGGTGTCATCATTTTTTGAAATCCACCAGTCCATTTTCTGTTTTAAGGCGTGGCGCCTTCAATTCGTTCGAATGAATATCCGGTTAATTTTCTTATTAGTCAAAACTAAACAATTTCATCTGTTTTGGATATGCGTTTTTCAAGAAATATGTGTTATCATCTTTTTTGTTCTTGTAGAATGTTCCTGTTTGTTTCAAGAATATGTAATCTACAGCTCAAGACATGCATGTAATTAAAGAATGCCAATATCCTGTGACTGTTGGTATACTGAGTATTTTTTTTGTTGTCTCCTTGGTTTTCTTGAATGGAAACTTGATAAACGTGTTGGCATCGCTTATATACATTTTTGGGCGGTCTACTTGCTTTTAAATCAATAGATGGGTCGGTATTTATATATACACATATGTCTTCTTCTTCTTCTTCTTCTTCTTCTGTTTTCTTATTCTTATACATGTTATATATATATATATCTATAAATATACATGTAATATTTCTCTACCTGCCAGGTGAGGGCCTCTAGATTTTATCAGAGGTGTATCCGGCCTCCCGCCTCTACCTTCACCTCTGCCTCTTCAACCGCGAGCTCCAGATCTCGGTGTGCGCTGCCTGACCACAATTGTAGAGCTGAGTGGGTACTGCCAGACCTCAACTGCCGGCTGCAGATCTCAGTGACCTCCGTGGGCAGTGCCGATGTCAGAAAAAGGACGTCAGAATAAATGTCAGATTGAATGATGGCAAAGTAAAACCGAAAAGGTGCCAGGTAGAATGCCAGAAAGACTGTCCGCATAAATGCCAGAAAGTATGTCAGAATAGGTGCCAGATAGATTGCCAGAAAGAATGTCAGAGTACAAGACATAAATAATGTTAGCTAAAAGGTCACAAAATATACAGATAAAAATAAAAATTAAATATAAATCTGATATAAATAAAAAAGATAAATAAGCAAATAAATAAATACAAATATATATATATATATACATGCCCAATACATACTTCCAGATTGTGTGTTAGAAAGTATGTCAAAATAATGTGTCAGGGCGAGGATCACTCGAAGTTTTTCTTTGTATATGCTTGAACCTTTCCGTTGTGGTATTGGAAAAGATTACACTTCTCAAGTTGGTTTTGATTTTATTTTGCATCCACTGATTAGATTTGATTTCTATTCTTCTTCAATGAAATTGTTCCCATTTAGCAACATGCCACATGTCATTATGTTGTCTTTCGAACAATCTTTCGTCAATTTCAGCTACTGGCCAATTTCGATTCATACTTAGACTTGGCTTTTGGTCCGGCAAAAGCTCGCAAAATTACAGGCTTTCAATGCGTCCGCAAAGTTCGTACATGCGGGCTCATTCAACCTGAACGATTTCGTGTCGCCAGGGGCCAAAACCATGACAAACTTTATCAATTCAGGGATGCCAAGTTACCATGTGAATACCTACAAATGCTAGCATGTGGCAAATGGATGTTTTATTCGGGATGTCCAGAGACAGGACAGTGTATAGTAGGACTGACAGTGACAGTAGACTTAGCCTCAGCAGAGATTTGGCTATTTGGCCGAAGAGGAAAGCAGTGCTTGCAACCTTGAAGACGCTTTAGCTGATCCTTACTTGAAGGACGCTACTGCCTCATAAAGGTCCAGAATGCCAACATGGCGTGCCAGCACAAGAGACCCCTAACACAAAACACCCCACCCCATGAAAGCACCCCACCCCATGAAAGCGGCATACTAACAGTTTGCAAGCTTGGCGGGACCTCTTCATGCTGCCCAAGGCCGTGCTCCGCCCCGCTCGTCGTGGCGGGCGCCGGCACCGCCTGCAAGCAGCCCAGTTCACTCAGCGTCGTTGTGCCCGTTGGCTGGCAGGAGAACGCGAAGAGTTGTGGGATGCCATGCCTGCCACTCGCCGCAAACGGCCTGAGGAGATGGATGATGAGGAAGCCCGGTCAGCCCGGCAGAGCCGCTGCTGCTCACTGGCCGCCGAGGGCGAGCCTTCCCGAGCCTGCGCCGCCTTGACTTCCCCACCTTTGCTCAACAACACAGGCGCGGTGGCCGCCAAGCTGCAAGAAAAGCACCCACGCGCTGCCCCCGCCAGACCAGCCCTTGTGGCCCTTGGCCAGCCTTAGCTGCTGTCCCGGAGTTGGGGGTTGAGGACGTGGTGCGAGCCATCCGCTCTTTCAGTCGAGGCAGTGCTGCTGGGCCTTCCGGCCTTCGTGGCGTCCACCTTCAGGAGGCCCTTGCTTCTCCCCACGGAGATGAGCTGGCAGTCCAACTGACGGAAGTGGTGCAGTTGTTGGTCCGTGGTGAAGCGTTGCCGGACATTGCCCAACACCTGGCGGGAGCAGCTTTGCATGCCTTGCCAAAGGGGGCCCATGAAGTGCGTCCCATTGCTGTGGGGGAAACGTTGCGGAGACTCACGGCGAAATGCCTTTGCTATGATGTGCGCGAGCCGGCACGAGAATGGTTGTGCCCCTTACAAGTCGGAGTGGCCACCCGTCATGGGACCGAAGCCATTGTTCACACCGTGCGAAACTGGGTTCAACGGCACGCCGGGCGAGCAGACCATGTGTTGCTCAAAATCGACTTCAGCAACGCCTTCAACACGGTCAACCGGGCTTCGCTCCTCCGTGAAACGCGGCTCCGCTTGCCGGGCTTGTCACCTTGGGCAGAGTGGTGCTATGGTCACCATTCTCGGCTGCTGTTCCAAGGAACCCCATTGAGCTCCGAGGCGGGAGTGCAGCAAGGAGACCCTCTTGGCCCCCTCCTGTTTGCCTTGGCCTTGCAGCCAGCCCTCCAGGCTGCTTCCTCGGGCCCTACAGACTCGCGGCCTTCCGTCGTGGTGGCTTACCTGGACGATGTGTGCATGGCCGGTACCGACAAGTCAGCGCTGGATTGGTCCGCTTGACCGCGGCAGCCCGACAAGTTGGCTTACAAGTAAACCCTGCCAAATGCGAACTGGTGGCTTGTGGGGGGGCAGCAGCCTCAGTGGACCTAGCTTTCTTTCCGAACGGCATGCCCTTCAACCAATCCGGCGCCTTCAGCTTGTTGGGTGCACCCATTGGCGATGCTGGTTTCTGCAATGAGTTTACCGCGGCCGAGCGGGTCAACAAAGCGTTGCCACTCCTCGAGGAACTGGCTGTGCTGTGCGATGCTCAAACCACTTTGCTCCTCCGGCGTCAATGTGCCTCGTACTCCCGCATGGTGTACTCCACTCGGGTTACGCCCCCAATGGGCTTGGCGCCAGCATTGCAATCCTTCGACACGGCAGTCCGCGGCTGCCTAGAGGCAGGGTGCAGTGGGCCACTCACACCGGAGGCCTGGATGCAAGCCTCTCTTTCGACGAGGTCTGGGGGCTTGGGTCTACGAAGCGTGGCCCGGCACAGTGTTGCAGGCTACGCGGCTTCACTCTTGGCTACCGCCCCCTTGTGCAAAGACATCGATGGCAACTATGATGCAGACCAGGGCGCCGCCGTGCACCAGGTCAACCTCGCGCTCCCACCTGCCGACCACTTCCCGGTCCCAGCCCCGCACCCTCCTCGGCAACAAGAGTTGTCACGCGCGCTGGACCGGGTTGTGATCGCGCAGCTGGCCGCGCCTGGCCCTGGGCGAGAAGCTTACCGAGCCCATTTCCAACTCTTGCAGCAAGAAGGGCGGGGCCTGGCTCCACGCTTTTCCAAACGATGCCCTGGGCCTCCATGTGGTCACTCCCCTCTTCCTTCGCTTGCCTATTGCCGATTCTGACATGGCTTGCCCCTTGTGTGATGGCACTTCAGATAGCTTCGGGGACCACGCCCGTGTGTGCCCCTGCGGGGGCGATAGGGTCAAGAGACACAACCAGCTGCGCAACATCCTGGCAGGGCGTGCCCGCGCTGCTGGCTTGCAACCGGAAGTCGAGAAACCGAACTTGCTCCCTCCGCGGCCGGAGCTCCAGGGGGGCACCGAAGATGGATCACAGCCTCGTGGAAATGGCCGTCGCCCAGCTGATGTCTGGATCGCCACCTGGAACCTTCATGGCCCTGCCGCTTTCGATGTTGCGGTCACTTCTGGCTTGCGGCAAGGCCACCTTGCTGCTTCAGCCGCTGATGGCAGCAAAGCGAGCATGGATTACGAAGGTCGGAAGTGCCACCACTTGGACACGTTGCAGGCCTGTGCCACTGAGGGCCTGCAATTCATTCCCCTTGTGGTCGAAGCCTGCGGTGGAGGCTGGGGGCCCACCGCTTTCAAAACGTGGAGGTCCCTCTCGGCCGCTATCGCTGCCAGGACAAGTGAAAGCAGCTCCGTGGAACTGCAGCGCTTGCTGCAGGCCCTCGGCATTGCGTTGCACCGGGAGAATGCCAGGGCCATAATGTGGCGACTCGAGTGAAGCACCATCATGGACCTTCAGTGACTTCTCCGTAACCTTCCTGAGCGGGCCACTGAGCCACCTCCTGGGTGTCTCCACCTTGGTTCACCCTCGAGGCTGGCCTTTGCCTTGAGTTCCCCAGCGCCCTTTTTCCTGTGGCCGGGTGGCTGGGGTTCTCCTTTTCCGGTCAGTTGACAACTGCCCTTTTTTGCGATGGCGTCAGCTAGGGCTGATGGTCTGTCCCTTTTGCTGGGCAACACCACGTTGCTCCCCTGCTCACGACGAGCGCACTTTTTTTTTGCCATACAATGTCTCATTATGTTTCACATTTGGGAAGAACATCAATCCAGTGCTAGGGATTCAGACCAAATAATCAGGGGTTTCAGTGCCTGATCTGGGCGTGGTGATTCAAAATCAATGGCATGATTTTGCCACCTCCACCCAGTTTTTAAGTGGAAATCGACTCTTGGCTCAGCTGCAGTTGCACTGAACTTTAAGAGTTTTAGTGCGAATTTGCTTGAGTTCTTCTCCCTCCAATCCCATTGACAGCTTTTTAATAACAAACTGATACATTCAGGACCGAAATATGCACACAAACAAGGCGCAAAACCCCGCAAACACGGCTCTAAACCCCGCAAAAAAGCGCAAATCTGGATTTCTGCCTTGAGGAACCTTGAAGGTTGTGGCCAAACCGCAAAATTCAATGGGAAATTGCAAAACATCGCATTTGATGTGCGCTCAAATCGAACCCTTCTGAAGATTCTGAAGGTTGCGATTTGCTGATATTCTTGAAGATTGGCAGACAAGGACCACAATAGGTCATACCTCAAGACTCCAAAGATCTTGTCACCCCTTTTTGCAGCTCAACACGCGCGGTGCAGAAATATCTGCATTTATACATGCAACAGCTGAAGAAGTCACAGTGACATGCGAATAGGTCGCGGCAGAAAAGATCAGGGCACGGCAGAGAAAGTGCAAACGAGGCAAAACGACCCAAAAAACTCAAACGAGGCAAAAAGAAAAAACGACCCAAATATTCTGCTTTGTCAAGGGTAGAGGACTATAAATTGGCTGAGTAAGTATCAATTTTTGAAATGTTCCATAGGGGGTTCCCAAGCCGCAGTGGTCTAGTTTGGTTTTCTTGTGGCCTAGATGGGGAAAATTTCTTGAAATTGAAGGGCAATACAATGTCAAACCCTCCCCCTGATATTTTTTCAACTTGCGGTGGGTGTCTCATTATGATCTATGAGGAGGTTAGGGTCTTTGAAATGTTATGTCAGTTGAGTGCTTTTTAAGTTTTGTGTATATATGTATATATATATATATTATATAATATGTTTTTGGCGTTTCAAGTTTGCATACCTTTGGGAAGATTTGCAAAAGAACATATAATCTTCAATTTTGCGCTTCCATTTTGGGAGCACTGTGCGCTTCTATTTTGGTACCGCTATGCGCTTCCATTTTGGGAGCACAATTGGAAAACACACATCATCCAAACGTCGGTTGAAATTGGTTCCGACACTTTGTAGACTATTGGGAAGGTGCACCCATCCAGACTCTGGTTGATAATTTGGTGCCGCTGCTGCTGCTGCTGCTCAACCAGAGTCTGGATGGGGTGCACCTTCCCACTAGTCTACAGTTTTTGTTGAACCAATTTCAACCGACGTTTGGATGAGGTGTGTTTTCCAATTGTGCTCCCAAAATTGGAAGCGCATAGCGGTACCAAAATAGAAGCGCACAGTGCTCCCAAAATGGAAGCGTTAAATATGTTCTTTGCAAACCTTGTGAAAAGTACCTTTATTTGAGCCACAGAAACATAAAATACTATATAACTGAACATCTAAAAGATCCTCAGCTGAAATGAAAAGGTTCAGAGACCCCAATCTCCTCATATTTTTTTTGAGACACCCACCGCAAGTTGAAAAGAAATCAGGGGAAGGCTTGGGAACCCCCTATGGAAAATTTCAAACTTGATACTTACTCAGCCAATGCATAGTGGTACCAGAAACGGAGGCGGATAGAGTGGTTCAACATGGTACAACAATGGAAGGGCACAGTGCTCAAATGGAAGTGCACAGTGCTCCCAAAATGGAAGTGCACAGTGCTCCCAAAATGGAAGAGCAAAGTTGAAGATTAAATATGTTCTTTGCAAGTCTTGTGAAAAGTACCTAAATTGGAACCACAGAACATAGAATATTAACACAATCCAAAAGGCCCTCCATCAATATCAAGATTTTTTTCCTACCTAGGCCACAAGAAAACCAAATTAGACCCCTAGCTTGGGAACCCCTTGGAACACTTCAAAATTGATACGGACTCAGCCAATGCATAGTGGTACCAGAAATGGAGGCGGATAGTGGTACAACATGGTACAGCAATGGAAGCGCACAGTGCTCCCAAAATGGAAGCGCAAAGTTGAAGATTAAATATGTGCTTCGCAAATCTTGTGAAAAGTACCCAAATTTGAGCCACAGAAAAATAGAATATTTACACAAAATCCAAAAGGCCCTCAACTGACATAAAGTTTCAAAGACCCTAATCTTCCCAGAAGATGTTTGAGACACTTAACTCATCGCAAACACGCTGACCCTTTAGAACTGCGCTGGGTGAGCAAAATGTGAAAGACAAGGCAATGCAGAAACACATAGTGTGCTATATTGATCCATCTTGTGGGTGGGGACTGACTTGATTTGACCTATTCAGGGGTCTGACATGTCTGATCCGCAAAACCACTGATTTGTCATTTCATGGAATTTCCAAGTTAGGGGTCTAAGATGATCAAACCTAAAAAGGGGTCTGACATGGTTCAAAAAATAGCAGTGGTCTAATACCCCTGCAGTAGTTGAGGGTATCACGCAAGGACATGTCCTGTATCAGACTGTGTATGATGATTTTAGAACTTTGAAGACGTTGACAACAGTGACTTTGGACTGCAGGAGGTGCTGAACAGACGCGCAGCTGATAGAATTCTTGCAGAACAAACCAACTGGGTCAACTCGGCAGACTTGGACTCGCTGTCTCAAGAATCCATTGATCCAGGATATCCCAGAATCCCAAGACAAAGGCATGACGAGCTTCATCTTCAGCGCCTAGTCAGCCTCGCCAACTGTAAACTGTAACCGATGTTTGAGTCGTAGCTGGAACTGCCAGGCAGCAATGGCTCGCTTCGAATGGTCTACGACTCAAAGTTCACTTTGATCTTGCTGAATCTTTTGTCATTTGCTGTCACTTTGTGCGTATTTTTCTTCTTTCATCTTGTGTCTCGCGTGCCTCATCCCACGATTCGCCGCTTTTTGGTCTCTGATACCACCTTCTGAAAAGAATGCCCCTATCGTTTCAAACATTGCCCTGTTGATGTGATGGAAGACTAGAAAAAGCAGAGTAGGCATTTGCGCATGAAAACTTCCTGAGCTGCATCACTCAAGATTTGAACCAGAGCAACCATTTTGAACTCCGAGCAGCACCAAGGTTTCAGCATTTCATCTCCAACCCAGTGAGCTGCTCAAAACCTTTTGCCAGCAGTTATTTTCACAATTTTCAAGGGTTTCCCCTTGTGATTTCAATTTAAAATTTACTACAATTTTACTATTGCCCTTAAATGGTGAAATGGACTGAATGGTGGTCCAACCCAACAATAAAAGAGGCCATGTGTTTGAGGCTTGGATTCGGTTGATGCAAAATGAATTTCAAACATATATGTAAAGTTTTTTGTAGATACTTTGGTCCTGATGAGGGTGTCTCTTCAGGCAGCAAGTTGTGCTTGACCTCAGTTGAATGTATAGATTTAAAGACAGGCGCCTATCAGGGAACTTCTTGGCTAGTCGCATTTTTTTTCCCCACCTGCCAGGTGAGGGTTGTTAGATTTTATCAGAGCTGTTCTTCTCCTCCTCGGCTAGCTCTTCTCCTCCTCCTCTTCCTCCTCGTCCTCCTCCTCGTCCTCCTCCTCCGCCTCCTCCTCCAGTTTCTCCTCGACCGTGTCTGCATCAACTTCCACCTCAACTTCCGCCTTGCCAACTCTTCGCCAAGCTCTTCGCCAACTTCCCAGCTCAGTGCGCACTGCTGGACCTCAACCTGGGACAATCCCAGCTCAGTGTGCACCGCTGGACCTCAACCTGGGACCTTCCCAGCTCCAGTGTGCACCGCTGGACCTCAACCTGGGACCTTCCCAGCTCAGTGTGCACCGCTGGACCTCAACCTGGGACCTTCCCAGCTCAGTATGCACCGCTGGACCCCAACCTGGGACCTTCCGAGCTCAGTGTGCACCGCTGGACCTCAACCTGGGACCTTTCCAGCTCAGTGTGCACCGCTGGACCTCAACCTGGGACCTTCCCAACTCAATCATCATCCGCTGGACCTCAACGGCCAGATAGAATGACAGAAGATATGCCAGATAGAATGTCAGATAGAATACCAGAAGATATGCCAGAAGATATGCCAGAAGATATGCCAGAAGATATGCCAGATAGAATGCCAGAAGATATGCCAGATAAAATGCCAGATAGAATGCCAGAAGATTTGCCAGATAGAATGCCAGATAGAATGTCAGAAGATATGCCAGAAGATATGCCAGATAGAGTGCCAGGAGATATGCCAGAACATATTGCAGAAGATATGCCAGGTAGAGTTCCAGAAGATATGCCAGATAGAATGCCAGAAGATATGCCAGATAGAATGCCAGAAGATTTGCCAGTAACAATGCCAGAAGATATGTCAGATAGAATGCCAGAAGATTTGCCAGTAACAAAACGTATAGATGTCATGGTGGGGATAACTCGAAGTAAAGTAATTATTTTTGTATTGGGTGACGCTACAGAATGATTGGACATGATTGGACACTTGACTTTTTAGTGAAGAAACTTTATTCTTATTAGGATTGTTAGGAACCTCTACGGCGAGCACATGTTGATGATTAGGGTGGTTCGTCTGTTGATATTGCTGATTAACTTTGCATGGTTTGGTTCAAGTGCTGCTTTCAGATTCCAGGTCCGGGTGTGCGCGGACCTCTCCTGTATAGCAAATGTCGCACTTGTACTAACTAATTACATAACTTACATAACACACAGTTTCACTCTCCAGGGTGTTTTCAGCAAAACTATGCAAAACTTTTTAAGTTGGTTTTCACTTGCTTTTGGGATCCTTATGTTTTGTATACATGCAAATCGTGTGAATGCTGTTTGTGCTTTCCGAGACAGAGAGGTACGCGTAGCAGCTTCATTTCCACTCATCCAGCGAGGCAATGCCTGGCATGTGGCAAAGTGTCGCATCATTTGGAGCAGCTTTCATTGCCATGCAAGCCTACGGCAAGAGCCTCATGGGAGTCAGCTCTGTTCAGCTCTGGAATCCTGATTTCCCGTGGCCCCTTGGCCCTTTGGCCCCAGGACCTGGGAGGCCAGTTCTGGACCCATGGCAACCAAATCAAGCCGAATCCCTGGCGTGACAGCGTGACAGGTACAGTTGATGATCTCTGCTGTTGGAAAACTTCATGGTCTAAGGCTGTTGTGTACGAGTACGGCGCAAACATTAGCGATTTCTGGCAGGTGCCCGTGACAAGATTCATTTTGCGCGGGCAACTACAGAGCGCAGTTGATTCTCAAAAATGCCAAATGAATTTTAGGAATGTGTATTCATCAAAGAGATAGACTTGAGGGTCGCGACAAAGCTTTGACACAACTTACTGTGGATTGCCTTTTCCATTTTTCCAAACAAGCCTGGGGTGGTTTCCATTCCATGTTTGTGTAAGAGTATCCTTATCAGAGAAAGAAATGGGGAATGAAGTTGCTGTGGAAACATTACTGGCATGCCTGAGGTCTTTTATGCTGTCAGAGGAGCATCCAGTTTTTTTACTGCGTGCTTCGGCAATTGCAAAAGTCATTGCGCATGCGTGAATGAACTTGATCTCACATCGACTGTGGGTGAGATAATCTGTATAATACACAATATAGTAATATATAGACCTAGCGCATCAAGAACCCACAAATTTGTAGGTCTTTGTCGAAAAACCCGTTCTTTTCTTCAGTTATGAAAAAAACGTAGACGATTCAAACCCCTTTATTGATACCAGCCTTGGATCTATCGCTCTCAGTACCCTTCATGTTTATACTTGCACCCCGCTGGCTTTGGCTGGCAGTTCTCACAAGAAAGGGCCCGATGCTCTTGGAACATGTCGGACAACATTAAGTGTGATCACAGTCAATCCGGAGTCGTTGAATGATTTTTTCCCAAGAACCACCCCTAGAAGCATAAATTGAAACATTGCTTTTTTTCATTGGGAAAAAATGATTCTGGATTGCCAAAGTCCAACAATCAGTCGAACAAAAGTATCGAACAAATTAACAAAATCATGAAAAATCAATCAAAATTTTCAGTTTTTAATCATTTCGGATGACAATTTTAGGGTCTGTAACCAAAAAATGCCAAAATCCCATATTTAAGCCGTAGTAAGCCCTACTAAACCCATATTTAACCCGTACTAAACCCATATTCTGATATAGTATTTAAAAAAAAAACTTTTTTTTTTGCACCCATATATTGAAACCATATTTAACCCATATTTAGCCCATACTAACCCGTACTCAAAATATGGGTTTTTGCCTCTGCGAATTGACGGCGCGACATCAAGTTTTAAGGCTCCGCTTGTGGTTTTGCAAGATCGAACCGGTAATTGCCCGATCCAGACAAAAAAAACAACGCAGATTACGGGAGCTATTGTCAATTTACTGGGTTCATATCTGAAAAACTGACTTTTAAAATGCCATGCATATCCATTGTGACTTTTTGACTACCTCCAGTCCCGCTGAAGAGAAAATTTGCAGCATAGGAGGCAACTGCAGCCGGTGGAGAATGCGCGCATCGTGTCTGATAACGCTTGCTTCGGTTTCGACTGCGCGTTCTGTCCGACAGATTTCACAAGTTGTCAGTATGAAATTTCTACATCCCTCCTACCTTAATGAAATTATTTCAGGGGGGGTTACCCTCCAAAATAATTTTTTGAAAATAATTTCAAAAATCTAACATGTTGGATGTATAGATTTATAGACTCTAACCATTGCCAAAATAATTTCTGGTTGGAAATTATTTTGATGGGTTACCCCCCCCTCAAAATAATTTTGACGAAAATGCTCTCACAGCAAAAAAAATATTTCAAAATAATTTTGGTGTTTGACCTTGTTTTGATCCGATGACATATTCCACCTTTGGTCGTACACTCAAGTTTCTGCAGGCTGTGTTCACACAGCACTTCTTCGCAGTGATGGCAGTGTTGTAACTTTCGGAGGAAACGATGTAGAACAATGCGATATCCCATCTTGCGCAATGTTGGGCTTGCAAAAGTGGCTTATTATGTTTTAGGTTTTTTGTTTTTTAGGATTGATGCGTTGCGAATCCTACAACGCAAATAAATTCAACATCATGTTTCATGTGTGCTCCCTGGTAGTCATGTCAGAATCCCCCTCAAAATTAAGTTGCAGCGAGAACGCATCAAAACTTGCAACTCGAAACCAAACTCGTTCTTTAAGAAATTATTCAAAGGATCTTGGAGATGCCCTGCATTCCTCAAAAATCAATGTGGGAAGCTGCCAGAACCATCCAACTCGCCCATATACTGGAAACAAATGAAAAACCTATCAAAACCGAACGCTTCCCAAAAAAGAGTTCGTTGGAGGGAAATGAAGGGAATATTGGAGAAAAATGGGAAATATGACAGGTTAGGAAAATCACTACAGGAAAGGGCCAGGTTGAATACTATTTTGTGGTATTTCCCACGGGGAAAAATTATTTTAGGGGTATTGGAGATACCCTGCACTCCTCAAAAACCAAAGTGAGCAGCTGCCAGAACCATCCAACTCGCCCAGAAACTGGAAAAAAATGAAAAACCTATCAAAACCGAACGCTTCCCAAAAAAAAGTTCTTTGGAGGGAAATGAAGGAAATATGGGAGAAATAAGAGGAAATATGACAGGTTAGGAAAATCACTACAGGAAAGGAATACTATTTTGTGGGATTTCCCAAGCGGAGAAATTATTTTAGGGGTATTGGAGATACCCTGCACTCCTCAAAAATCAAAGTGAGCAGCTGCCAGAACCATCAAACTCGTCCATATACTGGAAACAAATGAAAAACCTATCAAAACCGAACGCTTCCCAAAAATGAGTTCTTTGGAGGGAAATGAAGGGAATATGGGAGAAATAATGGGAAATATGACAGGTTAGGAAAATCACTACAGGAAAGGGCCAGGTTGAATACTATTCTGTGGGATTTCCCAAGAGAAGAAATTATTCTAGGGGTAGTGGAGATATCCTGCCCTTCCCAAAAATCAAAGTGAGCAGCTGCCAGAACCATCCAACTCGCCCAGAAACTGGAAAAAACATGAAAAACCTATCAAAACCGAACGCTTCCCAAAAATGAGTTCTTTGGAGGGAAATGAAGGGAATATGGGAGAAATAATGGGAAATATGACAGGTTAGGAAAATCACTACAGTGTCACTACAGGAAAGGGCCAGGTTGAATACCATTCCGTGGGATTTCCCAAGGGAAGAAATTATTCTAGGGGTATTGGAGATACTCTGCACTCCTCAAAAATCAAAGTGAGCAGCTGCCAGCTGAAAAAAAAAAATAAACACCGAATGCTTTCCCTTTCACAGTCTTTCCCACCGAGTGTTCTTTGGAAGGAAATGAAGGGAATGTGAGAGAAATGTGGGGAAGTATGAAAAAAAATGGAAATATGTAGGAAAGAACCCAGTGATGAAGATGATGGTTGAACATTTTTTTGCGGAAATCCCCAAGTGTTTTTTTTAAATCTTTTTTTGTTCAACCATTTAAAATTTAGATGAAGTTATGTCAAAACATAGTTATTCCAGGGTATATTTGAAGGCTTAGATTATAATTCGCATATTCCAATATGCACATCCGTAGGCCCACTGCTTAGGAAAATTATTCAACAACATGTTTTCTTTAAACATATTCCAAAACCTGGTTGATACCCCGGCGTTTTTCTTGAAGGGATGGAATATCCCCGGTACACCTGCGAAGGCGATCATGTCGGGTAGGGGGGGGGTCCCAAAGTATACATATGTAAAGATGGGAGTCTCCGGAGGGGGGCAAAATAATTACCTCCCCAGGGGTTGAAATAATTTTTACGAAGGCTCACCACCGTCGATGAAGGGGAGGGGGGGGTCTATCGTAAGAAATTATTTTACCCTAAAGAGGGTTGTTTCGTATAACAACCGAAGACACTATCAACCCCCTGAAAATAATTTTGGAAATTATTTTGAGGAGGGGGGGAGGGGGGGGGTAGTTTAGGTAGGGTAGATATTTCTACATGTAATGAGGAGAAATTTGATACAGCTCCACCTGATTTGGACAAATTTGTGCAAATCCAACAAAAACTAAAATATTGGTTCTTTACAAAACCACGGTTTTTATCGAAAAAACTAGGTTTTTTTCCTGGACCTACAATTTTTTTGGTCTTTGAAGCTCCTGGTATATAATATCTAATATTATATAACTATAAAATATAGTTAATTTTTTCATACAAATATATAGAAATATAGATAGAGAGAGATTTGATTACGCATATCACATATTCATGGGTGTGAAAGTCATCAAACAGCGACTTTGCATCCAAGGGTCGAGACCTACAAGCGGTCCAAGCAAAACTTGTCCAGGGCAAGCTGCTCAGGGAAGGTATGCCATGTGAGTTTTTTTCGCGTTGCACTTATCGGCAAAGAAGACTTCATGTAGCAACTGCAGGCACTACCGGAACCCGGTATCACACCACTATCGTAGCGGTCGTAGCTATCACACTTAGGTTGAGCAACTGCAAGATGCATTTGCAACGCTGGAGAGCGAGAGCAATGAGGTGCTCGAGCTGCTCAACTTGTGCTTGACAGAGGCTGTAAGATGCTGTAAGCAGAGGCTGAGCCGATCCAGATTTTTTGAAAAAAATGGAAAGGCAGCTCCTGAAAGATTCAGAGAAGGCTCTTGTATTGCTTTTGACGGCGTTTCCATTGCAAGGGACTTAGCATCGCTCGGGCCGGGGTTTGCCGCCCCAAGGAAACAACGGTCAACAAGTCAAAGGGGCTAACAAGCAGTCTAAAACCTGTCTAAAACCTCTAGAGACTCGTAGAGACTCATAGCGTCGTAGAGACTTCACTGCAGCATGGCTGAAGATGGCCCTGAAGCTCTGGACATATGTCGCGTAGTCGCGTAGTTGCCATTGCTGCCATTGCTGCCATTGCTCACTGAGCTGCAAGGATACGCCTACAGGCACTCCTTTACTTGCTGGGCTCAGTTTTAAGGCTTGGTGCCTAGCGGGACATTGTCACTGCCATAGACGTCCTATAGCTAGGTCCTACGTAGGCAACCAAACTAGGATGGAACTCTATGCTTTTTATGGGTTTGTACACTTTTCGAGCTGCTGAACATGAGCCTCGGGGCCTTTGTCAGGATGAAATGAGGATCAAACTCACCCCAGAATTAAATAGATAAGCATAACACGCCCATGCCATCAGGTGGAGCCTGGCAGGCACTTGGTCATTTGTGGGCACAACGGTGCAGGAAAGCCGCAAGCTTGGCATTTCTTGTGACATGAAGGCCATGGAACTGTGGAAAAACAATCATTCAATCAGATTCAATCAGTGTGCAAGAACCAACCTTCTCTCCTGGGCAACCACATTTTGCTTGGATTTGCCCACTGCCACCTACTGCCACATATAGACTTGATTTCTGATGCCCCCGGGCAATTGGTCTCCCATGGTCTCCCATGGTCTCCCAATGTCTCCCAATAGCTCCGACTGCAAAGGTCCTCGATTTTCCGTTGCTTAGCGGGGCTTTGGCCGATAGTCTGAGCCCTGATTACAGTGAGGATCCAGTTTAGATCCATCTTTCAAATTTGCAGCGTGGCAGGCAAAAGGGACCATCACCTGCCCAAATGCTCACGCAAGTGGACTTCACGGTGAGAGCCTTGATGCACCAGTGCGACTGGAGGCAGTGCCATGGACAACGGACCACATCTCACATCTATTCGTTCGTCTAACTGCAAGACTTCCAAGGTGATGTATACTACTTGCCCCAACGTCCTGTCAACATTTTGGGCACGCTCTCAGCCTTTGGCCCAGATTTCTTTGGTGCAAGATCACCAAAGCGTGGGTGTCAGCGTCAAATGCCGAAGTCTTAAGGGTGCTCTTCAGGACCAACTCACATATCCTCACCAAGTTCCTGGTGGTTTGCCCATTGACGAACTCAGGTGCAGCAAAATTTGTGTCTGACTGCGCTGCGATATGCGATATCCACGATGTCATGTCATGTTCTTGAGGTATGTGGGTTTTGATTGGTGCCATTTGGGTGAGTTGGTCTCAAATCAGGCGCTGGCTATCGTATGTGGGCATGGCCGACTTCGTGGACCGAGCGGAAGAAACCTCAGAGGTAACACTCAGCTCTGCAATTTTGCAAAGCATTTTGCTGCATTCAGCATCATTTAGCAAAATTTAGCATCATCTCACTATTTCTGCGCAGAAGATGCAAGACACTCTGGCAAGTTGGGCAAGGAAGAGAATGGAACTCTGGGAGCTGATTGGGCTTCAAGGCGCAACGTAGAAAGCCGTGCAGCCCGTGCAGCATGAGACCACCGAGACCACCGAGACCACCGAGACCTACAGAGCACAATGCCGACTATGCGTCCCAAGGCTGTCGCTGAGCGAGCAGCAACGCTTGGGAATTGCACGAGCTTTTGCCTCAGCGATGGGGTCCCATTGGTTGCACAGACCTTTTTGACACTGAAGTTCCAAGAAAACGGTTTCTGTTGCATAGGATCTGTAGTCGACTCTTGGGAATGTCGAGCTCAGCTTTTGCAAGGTTCTGTACCGTCGGCCGCAGTTTGCCATTTTGGATGAGTGTACCTCTGCAGTTCCCTACTCAAGATTTCGGAAAAGGTGTCCTGAATGATTCGACAAGAAGCAGTGAAAGCTGGAGATTGCAATGTAAGTAATGTAAGCGTGTAAATCATGACATATCATGACGGAAAGATCAGGTACGCCTTCCTGTGAAGACAAGAATTTGGTCAGTTGTGGGGTATGGGTACGGGTCAAGCTTTCGGTGCCTCTCCCTCTCTTTGTCTCTCAGTCTCTTTGTCTCCATTAAGGTTGCCCAACGAAGATAGTATCCAACAAGCATAAGCTAAGTTAATTTAATAGATTTACTGTAGATAAGTCAATTCCCGAAGGAAGGTGCTGGTTGTTTGCCTTCATTTGGTCTAGCTTTTTACTTTGGTTTTGAAGTCAAACACTTAATTTCAACATATTTCAACCGTTCTTGGTCTAGATTAAAACATGACTTGCATGTTTTTCAGTCTGCGGTTGTTGCTGCAGCTTTTGAGGTTTCATGTGGGATCGATTGGCTTCACTGCCCTGGGGCATCCAAAGCCTATTTTGCCCATCTCGTGCATCTGAGTCGTTGCTGCTCGCCATAGGGGCTTGGTTGCTGGGTTTCTTTTGTGGATCATTCATCGCTGCCCTCTTCCTATCACCCTTATTAAGGCGGATCCTTACCAAAGTGGTGGCTGTGGTGGCTTACGAGCTGGCTCCGGTGAACATCAGGGGGCGTGAAGGGCGACTGGCTAGATATCGTGATTAGCACTTTTCTTATCAAAAGAGGTTTAGCTTGGATCAGCTCTTTTGCTTGTTTTAGTTTTGCATCTCTCGCACCTGTTTTTGGCATTGCTGGCATCTAGCTTCCACAAATATCTTTGTCATTCTGCATCATTTTTGGTTGTCTGGGCATTTGCTCCGGGCTGGATCTGATTGAGCATTTTCCTTTGTCACCATTCACCCGTACAAGTTTGCAAGAAGCAGTGCCCTGCTGTCCTCCGAAAACTGGATTGATGGCTTTGCCCCGCGGGATCCTTGCAGCAGATCAGCTTGGTGGCCCCAGCAGGATTTTCATGCACTACGAAGATCATTGTTGCCAGGCTGTGATCGCAAGAGCTACTCCCTCAGGAGTGTTGGTGTGCATACCGCGCTCAGGCATCCCAGACGAAGTTTTCGAAGCAGCAGAGGTCTCCGATTATGCAGACTTGATAGGCCCATACTCCGCCACTTCGGTGTATGCTATGGGCAGTCAAGGACGCAGATCTCGAAGGTTCCTGGAAGTTGTCATTTTCGACTTGGACACTGCTGGTCTAGATCATCTTGTCTCAGAACCTCCTGTCGGCTCTCAAGACCCTGTGACATTCGGAGAGTACCGTGGAGTGCCCGACTGGCCTCACACAGGCCACCTCCTAGAGATCGTGGGGCAGTTCCTCCAATCTGCAGGAGGCCGGCTGGAGTCGTATTTCTCGGCAGAGGAAATCGCAGCTCAGATAGACGGAGTAGAGGCAGCCAGCGAGACCGACGATCTCCTGCGTCAATTGTTGTCACAGGCCGCGGCGACACAACGCACTGTCACAGGTATGCAGGACAGGCTGAATACCCTGTCCGAGGTGCAGGCTCGCTTGGAGAAGTTGGAGAAGCAAAGCGTGAGCAAGCCATTGCAGAACCAACCTTACCAAGCAGCTCTTGCTCCTCAGCTCTTCGATCATGCAGCCATACCTTTGGAGAATTCGCGGAAAGAAAAACTTCAAGCACTAGCTGGTCGAGGGCCAAACAGAGTTGGAGACTTGGGTGCCCAACCGAAAGGCAGGCCTGTGGCTCCACCAACAATGCCCCCCGCTGGCACTATCGCGGAAGAAGATCCGGAAGACAGCGAAGACGCTCCCGAGCCATTAGCTGGGGGAAACGTCCTGGAGCAGCTGCTGGCTTCGCAAACCCGATTGCTGGAGAAACTGGCTTCAAGCAAAGCTTCCCAACAGGATCCTCTGCACCTTCTGGCAGGGAGCTCAAGCCACGACTCCGACGAGACCAGCCGTGCATCCGGCGTGAAAGGAATTGCCGCCAGGCAGCTGCTCGCCGAGTCCTTCCGGAAGAATCCAGAAAAAGTGCTGAAAGTTTTCCGCGAGAGGCTTGCTGTGGCTCGAAGAAAATCGGGCCCCGAGGAGCTGGAGCCAAGGGATCTGTGGCTGCACATGCAGGAGACAGTTCCGCTGGGCACGCATCGCACTCTGACCTATGTTGGTTTCCAAGCAGCTGCAATGTTCGAAGCTCTAGAGCGAGGAGATTTGCCTCGACTGAAAATGCTGGTAGCTCTGCAGGCAGTGTTTGTGGAACAGAGTGCTTACGACGGGGGGGCTCTCCGCCTAGGTCATCTCCTGACATGCCTCGAAGATCCACCATTCAGCCAAACAGAGTTGCATCGCGTATTTCAAAGTGGATTTCGCCCACGGCCAGCTCAGCGACCCTCGATGGTTGGCTGCGCAGCTGGGCTATCTGCGAGATGTGGAAGTGATCACCGACAAGGCCGGAAAGTTTGCCAGGTCAGGTCACCTGAGTCAGGCAAGCCCATCCGAAGAGAGCAGCGAAGCTGTCCCCAAGGCAAAGCCAAAATGGAAGCCAAAAAGGATCAGAAGGAATTCTCAAGAGCCCGTAGGGGAAGCGGAATGAATTCTTCCCCAAATTTGTCTGCGCCTGCAGCCGCTAGTTTTCCAAGCACCCGCGGGGCTGGGCACCCTAGTGAAAGCTGCAATGGTATGCCAAAGTTTTTAGCTTCTGTTGTTTATGGAACAGACCTTTTGAAAGCCATTTCTGCTAGTCGAACTCCTTTAGGGAATTTCATTCAGCAGTCTTTTGTTTTGCACATGATGGAGAGCAGCCATTGTTCTTCCAAAGACCTTTGGCCGTGCCCAGTCCCGGAGAGAATTGCAAGCCCTGAGCATTCTCTTTCGGGCAGGCGCCGGACCAGACACAAACTTAGGGTGATCGTTACTAAGGTGTCAGGTTTTTACTTGTATCTAGTTATAAGTAGTAGATAAAAAGATATAAAACTTAGAGCGTAACTTTTGTAAGTTTCTTTGGGTGTTTTTTTTGCGCATTTCATTTTGTTGTTTTTTGTTGTCATAAATGGCTAAAAATGGCATTCCCCGTTTTCAATCCTTTTGTTCAACAAGAAAGCAGCCATTTCTACGAAAAAAACAAAGTTTGATTTGCGTTTATAAACGCTCACGCGTGCGTGCGCACATGCATCCGACTTTTTAGCACCACCCTGGTAACAATGAGGTTGGCACAGTGGTTTCGGTGATCACCGAGATGCGGTTATATGACCGCTATAGGAATGAATTTCTACATTTTTAAATCTGCTGGGAAATGTGTTCATCAACAGGGGTCCCACATATATAATATATAATATAGTATTATATATATATATATATACTGAATCAAAGACGGAATCTCCATATCATGTTCCTTTTCATGGTATCCATGCCGGGATATCAACTCTTCAAAAAGACACAGAGCTTTTCACCAAACAGAGAAACGTAGGATTCAGCCGTCTGCGGTTATGACCGCGCCAAAGCAGGGTTGATTTTTTTTAGCGTAGAATCACAATAGGATCCTTCTTGTCTGTGCAGAAGGAGGTTCTCAAACTGGTTCTGGTTCGGGTCAGCGGCACCATGGTTTCTTCCGAAGTTCTTGCCCATTGGCTCCACAAAAGATGTTTCTCTTTGGATACGCAGCGTAGTTTCATGCCAAAGACAAAGGTTTCAGTCCTGACGAGCTGTATGGTTCTAAGAAAGGAACATCTCTTGCAAAACAAAGTATATATATAACCCAAACAACTCCTTAAATCCCAAACTATGCAGTCAATTGCGGGACTTTCAAAGTAAAAACGTTGTTACATACACACACGCACAACTTAGACTAGATTCTCTTGCGTGCACCCAAGCACTTCCACTGCTGTCGTTTCATTGAGAAGTAGGATGTGCCCTGCTTTGATTTCACCCCAATAGCAGCGGAGACCCTTTCCAACTCGAACATTTCCAATGGACTCAAATTGTGCTAGTAGGAGAACATTGTCAGTGAAGGTTTCCAAACTTTGCAAGTCGTATTCTAGCCACCTGAGTAATACGGCTTTTTCAAATCCTTGCAAGCGACTGATATTGGGACACAGCACGTTTTTGAACGTTTTGTTCTTTCGTTCCCCTGGGAAGCAATCAAGAAGAACACCCGTCTCCAATGCTTGCTGCTCAATGTGCCCTGCAATGTGATGCTTTGGCCTGACCTTTTCTTCTGAGTAAGCCTGCGCAAAGTATTCCAAATGAATTTCCTGCAGTCTTTGAAGTCCATGGATGGCATCAATGTTTTGTTTGGCATTTAAGATATGCGTTGTAACATGCCACAGAGCTACCAATGACTGGATGTTTGGAGCCAGTTCTTGGCAATACTGCAGCTCCTGACTAGCGAAGAAGGCCAGCAAAGGAAGAATTTCCAAGGTTTGTACTGCATCTCCTTTGTAATCGGAATCTTTTCTCAGTAGCTTGTGGTGGAACAAGCTTTGAAGACTGCAACTCTTCTCAAAGCGAATCTGAGTTCTTCTCCATGTTCTTTCAAAAAAATGTGTCAGTTGTGTATTGTCGAGGTTGGCAAGCCGAACTGCCTGTGAAAAAAACAGGCCAACTTCGCAATTGACCTGGCCATTTGACCAGTAGCAATGCATCGCATCGTACTGAAATGCAGTAGGCTGTAAATAAGCAGAGATATCTGGTTGCAGAAAGCAGACTGATTCGTTCAAAACCCAGCCTAGCAGTTTTTGAGCTTCCTCCAGCGCACTTTTTGTTTGTGTATCTCGCACCTGTTGTAAGTGCTGCAGCACGTCCAAAATTTCGGAATCAGGCAGAACTCGAAACCGTCCAAATGTTGAACACGCAATTGATGCAGTCCCCAAACTACTTGCCATGTTGCTTCGATCTTTAGAGAATGCATCACAATGCAAACAAGGGCGAAGGCCAGATGCGCCTTTTGATCCTGCTACTGCCTTGAGAGCTGCTTCATCTGCTATCAAGAAAATTTTCTTTGTGACAATCAGCGTCTCGTTCTCCAAAAGAAGACCTGACAAAATAGGGACCAATAGCCGCACAGCTCTTGTGAAGAATTCTGGGAGCCCATCCTGCAAAAGATCAATTTGCGAGTGTCTCAGCAATGCCACTGGCCACCAATGAAGTATAGATCTGAAGTCTGCCAGGCACCTGAAGCAAAAATACATACAGTAGCTCTTGCGCTGATTATCAGGTTGTAATATATTACCTGGTACACATTCGTCCACGTACAAAATAGCATGGACACCATCAGGTGTTTTCCTTTGCTCCTCGCTCAAGATTCGTTGCAAAAAGGAACTGTAAGCTGGTGCTTGGTGAACCAGGCTATCCATATACTTTTGCAAATTGTTTACATATATTGTCACTTGAGCGCCGTCCTTTCCCTCCACCACTTCTTCCATAATGTTGTCCAGCGAGTTTTTGAATCTAATTTTTTCACTTCTCCAGTAGCTATTCTCCCAACTGGTGTCCTTTTTGAGTTTGCTCATGATGGTGCGCACATTAGAGTCAGGGACACCCAATCCCATGCACGAAAAGAAATCATTCTCGTTTTCCGCACGTTTTCGCTTGCTGGCCTTGGATGACGAGCTAGCCATGGCTTCATTTCATCCCAGCAGTGATATAACCGTCCGTGGATTAGCGGTATTCTTAGTATGCACATATGTGTCAATAGTCAATATGTATATATATATATACATTTGTTCCTGAAGATAGCTATTGTTCTATATAAAGATATACATATGTTACGTTACTGCACATTGGTATACCAGTGTATACCAGCGTATACCGCGCGTATACCAGTGTATACCGTGCATATACCATTTATATATATATATATATATATGTAAATACCAAAGCCACTGTAATGATGTTGCACTTGTTTTGATTCGATCGTAGGTTGGGCCATGTAGTGACTATACACATGTTGGGCCTTTAGTGCACGATGATCAACCCTTTGCTATTTGATGATTTGCTTGATCATTGACATTCAACAGGTTTGGCAGCATATGTGAAACAAAGTATGCTGATTACCAGTGCAGTCGGTGAAAACCGGTATGAACGGTAAAAACCGTGTCCAATGCATGCAGTACTTTATTTTCAATCGCCAATGGCTCCAAGCTGAGGTATACACGTAGAAACTGGTATGTGCATCATCCAAAGGTCAAGGAGACATATCAAACAGAATGTCACTGATAAGATCTTCGTACTGGTTCAACGAGGCCCACGAAACGACCGCCAGGTTGCGTGTCTCTGCCTCTGATAGATATTGAACAATGAGGTCATTGAAGCCGCAATGATATCGGGTGTTCCAGACCACGACTAAAAAAATATTTGCATTCATGGCGGTGAAGCGTCCCCAATCAAACCGTAAAGTGACAATGTGCATGGTCTGTTGGTATGGACTGTCTGCCTCACAAACTTCATCTCCATTTGGGTACACGTTCATGGCGACGTATAGGTTGAAGAAAATATGCTCAAGTTGATGTCATGACCATGGCGACGTAGCCCAGCAGCAAAATTCTATTCGGGTGGGCGTATTCGTGTTGAGCGGAAACTTCACGTGAAACCAAATTAACTTTGATTTTAAGTGATCACACTGATAGTCTTGGTTTGCTTCTGTCAAGGCAGTGACATTTCTTCAAAACCTTCTCAAAGAAAAATCCGCGGTAAAGACCGGAAATAAACAGACAGGTCTGTGTCCACACATAGTTGTCGTCTTTTTGCAGCTATATACATATATATATATAATGACAATTACCGCTATTAGACAGATACTTGTACACTCATGTTGCCGATGTTTCTTTACAGCTTTATGTATGTATATCAGCGGTAATGACCGCTTTAGACAGATATATGTACACATATTATATGTATACTTTGTGTATTTTTACAACTCACTATACATAAACAAATGTTATATCTATATATTTCAGCGGTGATGACCGCTGGTCAAAAATTCAACATATCGATCCACGGTAATTACCGCGAAGATCACTCAGGTCTTTTTCCCCCTCCATCTTCTTCTATCGAAACTTGTGAGACGGTTGCTTGTCCTTACCATGGATGAATTTCCACCGATCCCTCTTGGAAAGGCTGAACCATGCCTCATCCCCATGTGGCCACCAATATGGCACCTCCTTTCCATTTGGGTGCACTGACTGCACCCAGTCGTCACGGTCATCCCATGTCTCCTGCCAATGCTGTTGCGTTTGAGGGTGGTGCTGCTGCATCTGGTGCTGATGCTGTTGCATCTGGGTAGGAGGCATCACCTGATGCTGCATCTGCTGGGGATACTGTTGCATCATCTGGGGCTGATGCTGTTGCATCTGTTGCTGATGGAGCAGGGGCTGATGCTGTTGCATGCTGTGGCTGAGGCATCTGGAGAGGCTGCATCTGCTGATGCTGCTGCATCTGTTGCTGATGCTGCAGGGGCTGATGCATCTGGGGCTGCATCTGCTGATGCTGTTGCATCTGTTGCTGATGCTGCAAGGGCTGATGCATCTGGGGCTGCATCTGCTGATGCTGTTGCATCTGTTGCTGATGCTGCAAGGGCTGATGCATCTGGGGCTGCATCTGCTGATGCTGTTGCATCTGCTGATGCTGTTGCATCTGTTGCTGATGCTGCAGGGCCTGATGCTGTTGCATCATCTGCTGGGCCATGAGTGCTTCATGCTGTCGTGCCATTGCTTGCTGTGCCATGGCCTGTTGCTCAGCCCAGGCTTGCTGCTTTTGTTGTTCATACTGGTGATGTCTCACAGCGTCCTGGAGCCTCTGGTCCAGGGTGTCGTAGTCCAGCTCCTCCTTGACTTCAGGTTCGTAGTCCGGCTCCTCCTTGATTTCATATTGGTCTGTGTTGTCTTCCTCCTGTTTGACTGGTCTTGCTGTGAACTTTGGAGTTGGTCGCACAAACATGACCCTTGTTTTTTTCCAGGGGGGGCTTTCCTCGGACTCTTCATTGCCATGAGGCTGCACATCCGCGTAAGGGCTTCCACCCTCATCTTGCAAGCTCGTCTCTGGACCAGCTTCTTGCAGACCCTTCTCCATTTCATCTTCTGTTGGGGTCTCCATTTCATCCAGGATGGTCTTCTCACTTGGTGGCTGTTTCTTTTTGACTGGCTGGGGCAAAGGCTTTTTTTGTTTCCCCAGCTTCTCGCATAGAAAAAGACGGAGGTTTTCATCTGTCAAGGTTTGGCGATCCTCATCATCGGGCTGCTCGCTCTCTGCAAAAGCTGATGCCGACTCCTGCTGAGCCAGCGCCAGGTCCCATGCTGCGTAGTATTCCATGGCAGGCTCACAGGGTGCAGGTCTTCTTGAAAATAGGGAATATATATGGGAAATTGCGTATATTGATTGAAAGACAGCGTTTGTTTTTTAAAAGTCAGTGGTGAGCAATTTCTAGTTTCTGCATATGTGGCAAGGTGTGCACAGCATTGAGAGGAGCAGCCAGTTTGATTCCTATATGGATCCGGCAGGTAAAGACATATATATGGAGTGCAAACATACACATTCAGTGAGACGGTAATGACCGTGGACAAACTGAATCAAAGATGGGATAGGTGGGCATCACTTTGCATTCTTACTGTATTTCATGTAGCTCCAGAGGACATTGCAGGACACTTGTGTCAAAATGTTGAAATATGCAATTTGTATCCTGGTTTGATATCTATTTATGATTTTGTATTGTTTTTTGGGTTCTCACTTCTGGTCAGGTGTTCAATTTGTTTCCCATCACGCAGGGGTAAATGGACATTGAGGAGTATATGAAAGATTGAACTATATACATGTAGGTACCCCCCTTAAATAGCATATCATGCACTAAAGGCCCAACATGTGTATAGCCACTACATGGCCCAACCTACGATCCAATCAAAACAAGTGCAACATCATTACAGTGGCTTTGGTATTTACATATATATATAAATGGTATATGCACGGTATACACTGGTATACGCGCGGTATACGCTGGTATACGCTGGTATACGCTGGTATGCGCTGGTATACGCGTGGTATACGCGCGGTATACGCGTGGTATACGCTAGGCTTTTCTGGTATACGCGTGGTATACGCGCGGTATACGCGTGGTATACGCGTGGTATTTGCGTGGTATACGCGTGGTATACGCGTGGTATACGCTGGTATACGCTGGTATACGCTCATGACCCCCCAGCCCCAAACCGGTGAGAACCGCCAGCGGTGATGACCGCCTGCGGTAAAGACCTCCAGCGGTGATGACCGCCTGCGGTGACGACCGCCAGCGGTGATGACCGCTTCCTACATAGCGCTTCTTTTTTCCATCCATGATCTCAAGCTGTCTCTTGCCTTTAAAATGGAGGGTGGTTCCCCAGCAAAAACTGAGATTGATTTCAACAATCTCTATGGCAACACAGCCATTCACTTCTTCTTGTAGAAGTTCTTCTTCTGCTTCTTCGTGCGCTTTGCCGTCTTGCTCTTGTCCTTGCCTTTTTTCTTCTCTGTTGCATCATCTTCTGGCCCTTTCTCCTTTTCCATGGAGCTCCCTGCAGCTTTGTTTTCAGTCTCGCCCTGCTCTGACTCAGACTCCGAGCTGCTTTGTTGGGCCTCACGATCCTTCTCAGCAAGCTTCTGCTGGCAAATGCTCATCAGCATCAAAGTCATTGGGTCAATGCGGGTGTTGGCCATCTCCTCCCCCAACAACAGCGACCCATCGGACATGACACAAAAGCCAGATGGTGGGGCTTCCATGGTGCCAGGAGTCAGGAAGCAGTGGAACTTCTAACAGGGGGATACTCGGGCCTTCCAAAACACTACAACGACACACAAATTCAAAACTGTGGAAGGTTCTCCTGTAAAGACACCAGCCTTTGCGTGGGAACTGTTTCATGTATGCATGACACAAACATGACACGGTAATGACCGCACAGAGTCAAGTGAACGGCATCAGTTTTGTTTTTTCTCGCTTTCATTGCCAAACATAGCTTCGACAAATGCATACTGCATTGCAAATTGCAGATCGATCCAAGTGCGACACTCAGCCCTGCAGCCAAACCAGAAGATCAAACATGTTATATGCTTAACTTGTTCTGGAAAGTTTGGCCCTTCTATGAATTCACTGGCTCCAGATCTGAATGGAACAGAAGTAAATTAAAAGAGTTTTCATGTAAAACTCCTGGCCTCCTTGTTTAAACTTCAGCTCACGTCCTCAGCCTTGTCAGCACGCTTCTGGATTTCCTTTCTCTTCTCAGAAGCACTTTCTGCCATGGACTTGATCAGCTCCTCATCGAATCCTCCATTCATCATGCTCTCCACTGAGTCAATGCACTTGCAACCCTTAAGCAATGATTCCTTCAAGTCTTTCGCCACTTCGAACGTGTGATCGAAAGTCAAAGCCTCCCAGGTCCTGCCCTTGTACTTCTCCTGAATCTTCTTGGCACCCTTAACGATCTCCTTGGCAGCCCAGATCTGGTCATGGAAGCTCTTGGGCGCTGCCTGTGCCTTCGAAGGCTTGTTGCACTGCTTGAGCACCGGCTCCAACATGGTCTGCACCTTCTTGCAGAGTTTGTTGACCTTGGCATTCTCCTCCTTCAGTGTCTTGAGCTCCTCCTCGGTCAAATCAGGCTTTGCAGCTTTCTTCGGGGCTGCCTTTGCTTTCCCTTTGGGACCACCCTGCACATACACGACCTTGGGTTTGTCATCGTCCGAGCTAATACTCATGTAGTCCTGCTCACATTCGTCTTCATCTTTCTCCTGATCTCCCTTCTTGCCTGTGTCCAGGGTTGGATTGTGAGATAAATATGTCACGGTAAGAACCGTGGGAGGGCTTTGCATCCAAATATACACCACAGTAAATAAATAAATAAATATTTTTATATATATATATCTGTACATAGACTTGATCGGTGATGACCGCTAACTGATATAAATTAATATATATATATATATATATATATATTATGAATATCTATGATAAGCGGTGATGACCGCTTAAATAAGGTGCTATATATATATATATATAGGCGGTGAAAACCGTTCCATCATGCATGCTGCCTGCAGACAAGTCACGTTTTCCAGGCGCAATCTTCCGCTCTGCCCTCAACAAAGTCTCCCGAACTTCTTGTTCTATGTGGGCATAGTTCACTTCAAGCACAGGGACTCGGTAGACGTAACCAAACCTTGGACAAGCAGGAACATATTCGCTGGTTTGTATATTGCTCGGGAAAAACAAGATTGTCAATCTGTTGCTAAACTATATCCAAGTAACATGTCGCTCTTCATGCGCTCTGCCTTTGCTTCGATGTGTTCTGTATTGTAGCCTTTTTTCGCATATACCGATAAGGGTAGAAATTTTCCTCTGACCTTTGTTTCCACCTGGTTGGTCTCATATTGGATTAGCTTCTTCTCCAACAATGCTCTGACCTTGCCCTTGGCGAAAGAGCCACCACAGAAAGTCTTTGCGTCCTTGAAAAACTGCGTAGTCTCTTCTTCAGACATATTCTTCAAGCTGAGCTGCTTCATGTCCCAGTTCTTATACATCTGGGTGACCAAGTTGTGACATTGCTTGCATGCCATCTGAACGTGCTTCTTTTTCTTGACTGCCCGCTGCTTTTCCGGGTTCTCTGTGTCAACCACTTCCTTGCAATGCTTGCAGTAGTGGACCTGCAAGCGTTTGAATTGCAAGTCCTGGAACGCCATTTCCTCCACAGAGGCATTGGGATTGACCTTCAACGGGACAATGTTCTTCAAGTCCTTCTCGACCTTCTGTTCCACTTCCTCCTTCTGTTCCACTTCCTCGGTGGTCTTCCTCTCCGTGCCATCAACCCCTGTGTCATGAATTTCCACGGTATCTGCAATGGACTCAGGTGGCATGGTGTTCTGTGTCAAGTCCATGGAGTCTCCAAAGAGACCCTGTTGGTTGTCTGGCTGTTCCTCAACCATTTCAGCCATGGGCTTTATAAAGGGAACCACACAGGTTCAGGGCCAGATGCTTCAGCCATTTATACCTTTTGAATGCCATGAGGCTCATGAACGGTGATTACCGTGCAATAGAACAGAAAGAAAAAATGTATACACATTGATATTTGTTTTCTGTTGACTTGAAATGATGCGCGGTGATGACCGGCGTTCCCACTTTCACCAGGGATGTCGTGAACGGTGAAGACCGTGTTGGGAAACTTGCCAGTCACCACCTTTTTTGCTAAGTCGCTTGCTCTCGATTGTGTCTAAAACACATCGATGCTATGTAACGCACTGCAATTTTGCAATGATCCATATCAGAAAGCAAAATAATCATTTGCGACCATGTTCCTGGATCCATTCTTCTGCGGCCTTCTGGTGAGCCAACCGGGCATAGTGTTTGGCTTCGTCCTTTTTCATAGTTTTCAACTTTTCCTTGAGCTCCTTGTGGTATGCCCTGCTGCACACATTCTTCCTATCCATTTTGAGAGGAGGTTTTTCTCTTTTCTTCTGCCGACAGACGTCCTTCACCTTCTTGACACCAGTCTTCTTGTCTCCAGCCTTGTTGTCTCCAGGCTTGTTGTCTCGGTTTCCAGCTGGCTTCTTTTGTTGTTTCTTGACACCAGCTGGGTTCTCCTCAGCGGGTGCTGGCTCTACTTTCTTAGACGAAACAGAAGCAAGGATAGCCTTGACATCCGTGTCCTTCTTTTGTTTTTTCTTCCTCTCAGGTGCACTCTCCGTGGGCTCATTTTTTTTCCTCTTCTTGATCTTAACCGGTTCTGGCTCCTCTTGCTTCTGCACCGCAATCTCTTCAGGATCTTCCTTCTTTTCCGCATCCCTTTTGATGTTGTCCTTCATATAGGCTTCCTTCAAAGACTTCAAGGTATCAGCAACACTCCTGGCAGGCTTGCTCGCAGGCATAGGCTTGCTCACAGGCACAGGCTTGCTGACAGGCACAGGCATGCTCACAGGTTCAGGCGTGCTGACAGGCACAGGCATGCTCACAGGTTCAGGCATGCTGACAGGCACAAGCGCGGATAGCTCCACAGAATCCTCCACAGACAACGTTTCCTCAGGTAGAGAAAAACTCGATTCCATGGATTCCTGGGAGTCATTCTTCAAATCCTCGAGAGGTAAAAGCTTTGCAGAAGCTTGCTCACTAAACCAAGGTGTGCACGCATTTTTGGAAACATTTCCACATCTTGGGTTCACACCAACAGCTGATCTGCGTAGAGGGTAGGTGCGCACAGTCTCCTCCAACTTTGCACAAGGAATCAATGGCTTCCTTGGCAGGCCACACTTTGGAAAACCAAGAAGACACACCACTTTTTACATATGTATATATAATTCCATAGCAGTCATATATGGCACTCTTTTGGAAACCAAGGAGACAGCATAATATGAACATAACATGTATGGATGTATATAACTGTATAATTAAGTTGTATCGTATATAGCACCCCCACTCAAAGCACTCTTTGCCAACCAGAATCTCTTCCGTGTAGACCATTGCATGCGAGGCTGGTAGGTCCGCAGGAACAGGCGGCAACTGGTCCATGGGATCTTTCAGCTGCTTCATAGATGTGTACTCCTTCAGCACCGCTCTGGTCAAAGGCTTATCAGCCTGCAACGTTTGATACTTCTCCATCGATGATGGCATTCCATCATTCCATTCTTTCCAATGCATGAGGCAGATCATCGTCCCCAAAGTTCTTTCAGTCGGGCTCCGCAAACCAAGGGCTGAAGCGAGGCTGCACACAGCATGGCATCTGCTGCAGAGGTCTGGTGCTTGCAGCTCCTCCCACACTTTTTTGGTGAGGTAGCGATGAAGACTTCCATAGTCTTGGCCCTCGCCAGAAGGCCCTCTGATAGGTTTGCTGAGTTTGTCTGGAATCACCTCCAAGCATTGCTTGGCCAGAAGCTCCAAGAGTGCTTCGACATGTTTTTTTTGGAAATACTTCAATTTCCCCACCACTTCTGCAACCTTTGCTGACTGCTCTTCATTGCAGCTCATGTTGCTCACCAAGGTCTGCAATTTCTCAAACTGCATCTTTTCGATGTTCGAAAACGAAGGCAAGGTCATGACATTACTTAAAAATTTATCAGAGGCATTGGCTTGCCTTGTGAAGTCCGCTGCCCGAACTGTGTTTCTTTTCAAAGGCATACCCTTAAGGTTCTCGTTGGATCCTCGAAAACTTGCAGAACATGAGAGACCATGCGCACTTCTCACAACCATACAACCGGAGAAAATGTCTTCTTGTGATCCCATGCAGTCCATGTGTGTAGACAGACGTGAAACCAACTGTAAAATACAGTGATAACATGTAAACGGTGATGACCGTTGTAAACAGTGATAGCCGATGTAAACGGTAATGACCGCAGTAATCGGTGAAAACCGGTGTGAACTGTAAAGACAATGTTTTTTTGAACAACCCTTCCAATGCCGCCAAGTAATCGCTCCAAGCTACGGATTTGCAAGTCCATCCGTGGTAAGTTCACAAACCACAGAAAGCTAAATATGAATTAGCTGCGTTTACATGGATGGAAACTACAAGGAGTGACTGTATATGAAACGTGGCATTTTTTGTTTCCCACTTTTCAGTATTGCTGAGTCTTGACTTTATACCTCGAATCGAATGATTTTTGCAGCCCAGGCAACCGTTGCATTTCTTCAGGAAGATTTGGGGGCTGAGTGATGAAAGCTACAAAGAGGTTTGGGAAACTGTTGTGGAGATGTGCGCTGATGAGCGTGTCTTAAAGAGGACATGTTGTATGCCTCTGGCATGCTCTGTCCTCACAATGCCACTCATTTGAAAAAGGTTTGAAAAAGTTGCCAAACTCTACATGCTACTGTTGTGGACGTTTACAAAATAGATAAAATTGTCAATAGGATCCAAGTTTCCTTTCAATCGGAAGTGAAAGATCTTCCCAAGTTACTTGGGACATGGCTCATGGACCGATGCAGCGAGGTTTTTGAACTAAACATTGAACTAATATCAACGATGATAACCGATGAGAGATGATAACCTCACTTGGAACATGATAGAAAAGTTTCGCCGGTGAAAATCGCAGGTCATGTTAAGATAAAGTATGTTTTTTTGCTATATGTCACCACGTTTTTCAACATACTTAGCTTCTACGAAAAATTAAAGAAAAACCCTGGTTTTGTAAGTTTTCCTAAGTCCGAGCTAAGTACTTTTTTTTACTTACATAACTTTTGTAACTAGTACTTATAAGGAGATATAAGTAAAAACCTGACACCTTAGTAGGGAGCACTTGCGAGTTTTTGTCGCCTCGGCTAACTGGCTTGTTTTGGGCCGCCCAAAGAAAGCCACTGCTGAGACCTGGACCAGGCAGCCTCTTTCAACATGCCAAAGTTGTATGCTGGAACATCTGGAGCACAGTCTGAGAGTTTGGTATCGCCAGAGCTCCGGTCTCTGCAGCGACCTTCAGCGGTCTGAGCAGAAATTCACTTCCTTGCACGAAGCCTTAGCCGAGTTAAGTTCCGCTTGTAGGTCTCTTCAAACGAATTTTGACCCGCACAGCAGACCTCGGAAATGCACAGAACCGCCAGATGAAGGCGGGCAGCATGCGCATGGTGATTTGAAGGTCACATGCAAACCTCCAAGCAGTTTCAGCGCAGTTGAGCTTGAACCTAGTCGCTTAAAGTTTTCACATAGCCCTAGTTTTAAAGCTAGCAAATTTATCTCCGACCCTCTTCTGAAAGCAGGATTTCTGAACCCCAAACACTTGAGGTTGCCTAAGGAGACATGGCCGTCTGTAAAGCCTGCTAGAGTGATGTGTTCCCGCGAAAAATTGCTGCAACTGTTTAAGCGTTGGGACGATGTCCATTCCTTGCAACTTTTAGATGCAAATGCTTCTGAGTTCAAATATAGGTGTGGTTTATTCGCAGTGTATAAAAATGCTGAAAAAGACCGACAGATTCTGAATCCCATCCCAGAAAATGGAAGGACTTTTGGCATCGCGGAAAGCACTCACAATCTTGCGCATGGAACGTTGTTGTGCAACCTAGTCCTTGATCCTGCTCAAGATCTGGTCATTGCAGCAACTGATCTTGAAGACTATTATCATGCTTTTGTTGTCAGCAAAGCGCACGCTGCCAGAAATCACATCCATGGTGTCTTCCCAGCAGAAACCTTCAAAGATTGGAACTGTTGGGACCCAACGCTTGCTGGGAAACTTGTAGTGGGGTGCTTCGCAACCTTAGCCATGGGGACTAACTATGCTGTAGAAATCGCCCAACACACCCACTCCAACCTTCTAAAACGAGCCGGATGCCTCCTGGACTCCCAGCAAGTGAAATATAGACACCCATTTCCTAGAGGGGAAGTCGATCTACCAGCTTTTGTGTATAGACGATTACGCAGTGCTTCAGCAGATTCCCCGAGGGCTCCCCCTAAATTCCCACAAAATAATCCGCCAAGACCTTAAGCTACTAAACAGCGCTCAAGATGCCTATTTGTCCGCAGGCCTTAGGTCATCTAAGTCGAAAACAGTCAAAAATGCGAAAAAGGCAGTTGTTCTTGGGGGGGAAATTGATGGGGTGAAGGGGACGATCTCAGCGCCCAAGCTGAGGATACATGTGCTATGTAAGCTTACCCTGGCTTTGGTCAATCTAGGATGGGGAACCAAGCACCTTATTCAAAGCTTACTGGGTTGTTGGATTTTTGTATTGTTGTTCCGTAGGCCCCTATTAGCCCTACTCAGCGAAGTTTTTCACGCCGGTGATCAGAAAGGACCTCACGAAGTTTTCCCATTGAACACTGGGACAAAACATGAACTTTTGCTTCTGTGCATATGGGCCCCGCACATGTATACAAATCTCAGAGCCCAGCCTGCTGAGCGCTTGTTTTGCTCCGACGCCTCTCTAGAAGGGGCTGGTGTCTGTCAGGCGCCAATTTCTCGTGAAGCCACCATGGACCTTGCCCGATTGGCAGAACAGAAGGGTTTTTATACTAGAGTTGATACTTCAACCTTAGGCCAGCATCTCGCATTGCAAGGTGAGCACATTGCTGCCGAACTGTCAGTGCCCAAATCACTTCAAGAAGGGTTCCTTTGGGATTTCGTTGAAGTTTTCAGGGGTTCCGGTCACCTTAGTAAAGCCCATCAAGATTTAGGTCTTAAAGTTCATCCCGGGTTCGAAATTAAAGATGGTCCCCACGGAGATATCATGAATGAATCCACTTTCTTAGCAGCTGCCGGTCTGATAGCCCGGCGTGTTGTAAGAGCTGTTCATGTGGCCCCAATCTGCAATACATTCGGAACCTTGCGGCGGCCTCGGGTCAGGTCCAAAAAATTTCCGTTCGGCTTCGATTGTTTTGAGGAAGACACCGCCGACGGGAACCATTTTGCCGTTCGAGCAGCGTTTTTGCTTTTCCTGTGTTTGCATTACAACATCTTAGGTTCCGGAGAACAGCCTGCGGGTTCGGTAATGTTTTACTTGGATATCTATCAACGACTGCTAAAAGCGGGTTTTTACAGCATTAAGTTTCCATTCTGTAGGTGGGGCACTCCTTTCCAGAAAAATAGTTGGTGGGTAAGCAATAACCCTAAGTTACAAGACCTAAATAGCGACTGCTCATGCGGGTACAGAGGCCGGCATTTCAGAGTGAAGGGCGTGTTCGCCAAACTCAACATGCCCGATTTTGCACAGCGATGCCGTCCAAACCTTTTGGCAGTTTTTGGCCGGGGGCCGAACTTAGGAGAGCACGTTGCAAGTTTCAGTGCGGGGTACCCTTTGCCCCTTTGCGTTGCCATTGCCCAAAGAAATTTGCTTCACATGACTGAGCTCAAGCAGGATGAGTGCTCCCCAAAGTTTCGCTCAAGCTCTAGGTCCCCGCTTTGGGTTTCGGAACTTGGACGAAGTCTGGAGTGGAAGAAGTTGCTGCAGTTTCGCTTCAGGAAATTGAACCATATAAACGTAAATGAATCCCTTGCTTTCAGAAGCCTGATCAAACATGTGGCCAAGAGTGAGCCTTCTAGTCGTTTCGTTGCTTTGTTGGATTCTCGGGTAGTGATTGGTAGTACTGCTAAAGGGAGATCTTCCAGTAAGCAACTTAATTTTTATTTAGGCACCACTCTCCCATATTTGATTGGAAGAGATTTGTACCCCTATCTGATTCATATTGCTTCTAAGGAAAACCCTTCCGATGATGTTTCCCGTTTTGTCAGTTTGCGGTGCAGCTCTCAAAAGCCTTGGTGGTTAGATTTGTTGCTCAAAGGTAGCCCTGAACTTTTTGATCAAGTAGTCGAAGCTGACAAGTTGCAGTGGCCAATGAATGGTTGGGCCAGGTTCACTCGATTGTTGATCTGTCTGCAGGGCAATCCAGGGAAGTGCCATGCCTCGGGTTAAAAGAGCTACCATAGATGCCAGGTCTGGCATTGGTTTTCGAGCTGCAGACACCCACAAACCAGCAAAAGACGAGTGCAGTGTTTGGAACGTTTTCTGATTTGGCTGGGCAGGGAACTTGAGCGACCCCTTGCCCTTCCCGAACTGGACACAGCAGAATTGAATGCAGCGCTCATTGGTTTTGGTAAATGGTTATTCTATGCAGGTGAGCCAAAATACATGTTTTCAGAAACCATCAATGCCGTGGTAGACCAATTGCCACATCTGAGGGGGCAACTAGCAGCACCATGGACCACACTGTCCCGATGGGAAGAGGTAGAGCCTGTCAGCAGGAGCATGGTTATGCCCGCCAGTGTTCTGCAAGCCGCCATTTCTCTAAGCTTGTTATGGAGCTGGCCGCGCATGGCTGCCGCTCTTTTGATAGGTTTCCACGGCCTCCTCCGCCCAAGCGAATTTCTTCCTTTGCAGCGAGCTGACCTGATTTTGCCTCGTGACTTGTTGTCCCATGAGAAACTCTGTTACATTCGCATACTGCATTCAAAGACAAGCCGATTTATGTTGCGTCAGCATGCACGTATTAGTGACCATATGACAGTAATTTTCTTGGATCACGTCTTCGGTGCCTTGCCTCCAGCAGATTTGCTTTTTGGTTGCAGTTCGCATGTTTTTAGACATCGCTGGAATAAAGTATTTAACTACCTTGGTTTTAGCACGTCCGAAAAGTCCCACGGCATCACGCCGAAGAGCCTTCGTGGCTCTGGCGCTAGTTGGTTTTTCCATATAACTGAAGACTTGGACCGAGTGTTATGGCGCGGGCGCTGGCAAGCGCGCCGGACCTTGGAACACTACCTGCAGGATGTCATGGGCCAGGTCCTCCTTTCGGACTTGTCCCAACACAAACGAAAACTTGTCTTGGAACTTGCTGCCGCTTCATCGTCTCTTTTGCGTGAGTCTTATGACCAGCAATGATCATGCGACACGTGGAGCAGAGTTGGATAGGCCACTTCGATTTTCGGTTGATTTGCTTGCAATCTCATCGTCGTGTCCAGTCCTTGCATCCTTCAAGCTTGATTTGCCTTCGATTTTTGTCGAACCCGTAGTGGAGCATGAAGCCTGTGAGAGTTGTTGGCAGCAAAAATGGAGCGGCCTGGCAAACATGACTTGCATGTTTTTCAGTCTGCGGTTGTTGCTGCAGCTTTTGAGGGCCCTCCCTCGTTGGCACTTCCCAGCCCGGGATAGGCCACTTCGATTTTCGCTTGATTTGCTTGCAATCTCATCGTCGTGTCCAGTCCTTGCATCCTTCAAGCTTGATTTGCCTTCGATTTTTGTCGAACCCGTAGTGGAGCATGAAGCCTGTGAGAGTTGTTGGCAGCAAAAATGGAGCGGCCTGGCAAACATATAATAGATCACATTGTTCCTTTGTTGACTTTTCGCTTGTTGCTGGCATTTTGACATTGAGCACCTGGGAGCAACTGGGAGCATCTGAAATTGTCCTGCTGCACCGGTTGCTTGTTTGAGGTGTCGAAAGATATGGAGCATTGGCTGTTCCAGGCTTGTACAATTCACTTGGGGCGGTCAAGAACAGTGATTTTCATTGATGTTCAATTTTCCAGCAGATTTTTGACCATGATGAATGCACTTTGGTTCTGCAAACAGAGGATGAATCTTGCCATGACAGATTCCCTGGCATGAATCACCGAATAAGTCGTATTAGTGTTTGCTGCCCTTCCAACAAGGCTGCAAATGAGCTTGGGATCTCTTGTGTCACCATTTGCCATCGACCTGCACTTCTGGAGCACCACCATCAGATGCTGCTTGCTTGCACGTCCAGATGGACCTGGACTTATGGAATGTGTATTTACGTTGCAAGTCAGGACACAATGACGATGCATACATCCTCATGGATGTTCGGCAATTATATTGTACATTTTCAGCTGATGATGTTGACTCGCTTGGGAAAGTTGAACAATGATTCCTTTATTGGCAGTGGACACCTGCAGTACAGTAGTATGTTTGTCTTAGGGCTGAAGTTTCATGGGCTCCTGAGATTACCAGAGAGCCAAGTAAATGAGCCGAATCAATCGCACTGAGGCTACGGCTCACGGGCCGCTTAGCAGAGGACCCGAGTGTTTAATGATAAACATGTGCAGCACGGCATTCCCCACCCTGTCTTGCGTATGATCGACCATATCACTATCATTTTCCCCCTGTTTACTGAGCACTTTTACTGGTCAATGTTGCTTCTGATTGTCCCGCTTTGCCCCGAGTTGTTTGCTGAAACGCTCATTTCTGCTCATTTCCTTGCAGAGGATGGACTTGGATGGGAGCTTGTGGATTTACCTTCCAATGTGCCAGAGGCAGGATCGCGCAGTGGGCGATGCATTATTCTTTGTTGCCGAGTTCATTGAGGCAAAGCCGCCGGCTGGCAGCCATGCAGAGGTCAGCTTCAGCTGCCTATGTGGGCTTCAAGTAACTGATTGTGATTATGTTATAATATACATATCTGATCATTTGAATTCATTTGAAATCATTTGATATCATTTTGTTTAGTTGAATAGTCGACTCATTTTGGTGGCACTTTGGATCTACAATACCCATGCACTTGCTCATCTTGCTTGCTCCTTGTTTGCGCTCTTGCAAACCCTCTGAAAGAGTTGAAAGGCACATGCGCGCCTGGAAGAACTGCAAAAAGCAGGAGGTGCAGCCTTTGAAAAGACGGAAGTCCATTTTCAACAATTTCCGCAATGATACGCATGACTTATTTTTGATTTTGCCTCAGCACAAGCATCCATTGCACGGCGGTCCGATTAATCACATGACCTGCGAGGGTGCAGAAAGGCACATGCCTGAGAAGCTTCAGACGATGCATCCCTGAAAAGTCTGGTAAATGTCGCAACGATTCTGTGCGGTCAACAAGGCGTTTGCAGTGGACAAGTCCGCCGCTGTCCATGCGTTGGCGACTCAGAGGACACTCTGTGAGCTTGATCCTTCTGGTCACACCTGAAGAAGTGGTCAAATTCCTGCAACGTGAGCGTTACAAGGTGATGGTAAAGTTTCCAAGTAGTTCCAGCTGAAGTTCCAGCGGATTATTCATTTTAACCGGCTGGAATCCCTTCGTATTCCAGTATTCCAGCGCTGCAGCAGTTCTATGGATATCGAGTGAAATGGCTTGTCCAATGGCTTCAGGCCGACTGTGCGCTCTCACCAGTGTCACCTGGATGTGGTTCAGAGGCCTTAGTCAAACAATTGAAACCTGGTGTCGCTCAAACTCGGCAAGACGTCACCCATGTCACCCGCGTCACCCACTGCAATACGGGCCATGCCACCAGGCGCTATCCATCAGCACTGCAGCGTATTGCAGCATCTTTGCAGCGTGCCGCTGAGTCTTGCGACTAATTACTGAGATTGGTTTCTGCAGTTTCTCAAGCGTGCTGAATCCTTCCACTGTGATGGGAAGAGGAACAGATGGTGGTTCTGTTGCAGGGGGCCAACGAAATGTGAATTTCATGTGAATTTCATTCTCGTCGATGCAGTAGCTCACTCTGCAAAATCCCGACGCTGCTTTGACAGTTGGTGTGGGATGAGGCTGGGACAGCTTCACCACAGTTCAAAACTTTGTGCAGCGCTGTTGCTGGTGGGACGCTCAGCACTTCCTGCGGAAGCAAACAGCACGATGGCAACTTGTGGATAACTTGACGTCCTGCCAGCCGTTTGCAGCGCTACTGCCAGGTGTGTATGCTTCTGAGGCCGCAAGGAGCTTGGGAGGCCTGTCGGACCGCCGCAAATGACTTGGGCACATGTTGGCACGTGGATCACCAGGTTTTTCGAACCATTGGTGGATCCGTCTCCGTGGCAATGTGCAATGACGGCATTGGTCTTTGCAGGATACCTAGAAAGACGTTGCCAGCTTTCAACTGGTTATATAGGCACTTTGCCTTGCAAACATGTCTCGTTCAGATAGCAGTTGGAAGATGTTGGAAGCGATTGGAAGTATTATTTTGTTTAGCCAGCTTTTGTCTCACATCATTTTCGAGGTGCAGAGCTACTGACCAACATTGTGTACGTGCTGGACTCAATGTCCACTTGACATTGGCAGAACATAAGCGGGATCTGTATGGATCTGTAACGCTCGGGATCATTTGGCCATTTCAGGCTCTCACGATTCGCTTACCGCTGTTCTTGTGCTGTCTCAGTAGAGCCCCTTTCAGAGGCAGCTGGACTTTGCTGCCTGGACCGCCTTGCAGAGGTTCTCCCAGCAATCATGGATTTTTGTTCTGCTGTGCTGTGCGGCAAGGCACCTGATGTTCCTTGCAATGATGAAGCATGTCTGGTTATAGGCGCTAAGCCGGCAGCTTTCGCTGCAAGTGTGGTCTGAACTAGCCACTGCGATGCACAGCAAGGCTGAGAAAGGAATTGTCCAGACACTGTTACAGCTAGTTGGAGACGAACCAAACAACTTAGAGGTTTTCCGCTTTTCTCGCCAACACTTAATTTCACAAAAGATAACGGTAGATTCTTGCAAAGAAACTTGTCACAGAAATGCGACTGGCTACATGTGTGTCTTGGATGCTGCTTTGCATCTTTGTCCCATTCAAAATTGAGCATATTGAGCATGCAATGCTTTCCTACAGGCACTGAAAGGAGCTGCATTTCACAAGGTGGATGTGGAGAATCCCATGCAACGGATTTCTGAAGCAGCTTGGCTTCTGGAGAGCCTTCTGAATGCTCAATATGAAATGCAAATTGGGTTTGCATAGGTGGACAAACCACCGGACTGGGATCCCCTTTTGGAACATTTTGGAACTAGTGATTTATGTGGAGTTACACAAGATCCAGGCAAAACTGCTGCTTGAAGAGATCAAGGGAACCTTGGTTGCAGTTGGTCAGTTGGTGCACTTGCAAAGCCATGAGGCACGATTCATTCTACGACAAAAAGACCGCTGGTCCATTTTGCTGGACTTGTCAAGCACTCCAGGCCAGCTTCAGTACACAGGTGGCGTGACCGCTAGATGCTCAGATGGTACGATGAATCTCACTTCCCCGGAACAGACATAATTCGACAATATTCGACATATTTGCTTGATATTGCTTGATATTGCTTGCATCTGGCTAACCTAGGCTAACCTGATAGTGAGCATTCGAAGTTTCTTTGGACTTTTCTTCGCACTGAGATCCAGATGCTTTACTGTTTGCCACTCTTGGTTCGTGGAGGAGGCTTACTTCCAGCACCTCCGATGCACTGTTTCCTTGTTGTGGTCACTTTTTGTCAATGAAATATTTTCTTGATTTTCCGGTCGTCAGAATCTAAGGCACTCCAACTTGTGCTGCTTTTTGCAACACATTTCTTGGCCTGGGCCCGAGGGGAACTTCCTTGTTGCAAGGCAGTCCGAGGCCGTCTGAAGTCCAAGGGGAGGGGAAGCTGTGCAGGTGCGAACCTATTGGATGCCTAACATCAAGGCCATCGACTGCGCTATTGGTTGCCGTCCATTCAGCGCCTAGGCCGAGCTTGTTGGATCTTGGGTTTGCACTGCGATCTTTCAGGCCATGACAGCAGAAACCTCTCAGATAGAAGATCAACTCCAGGTCGGTGGGGAATCGCATGAAGCATGGATACTCATAATGGATGCTGGCAAATTTATGTCTCGCACAAGTGGTGGTGTGTCATAGAAAGAGGATCTTCCACGTTGCAGCGAAGATCCAACTGCACAAGTGGATGTGAATGCTGCAATATGCTGTAACTCACAGATTCCGCAGCGACACACGCACTATGCGAGAGGAGTTTCTCGAGGGGTTTCTCTTTAGGACCCAGAGAATCCCGAGACCCTGGGACTCTGTCGTGCGAGGTGATGCAGTCCAGGATTCGTTACTTGGCGGAACCGATTGCCTTCTCCAACGGCGGTGAGGTGGGGCTCAGCTTCGAATCGAATCTATCAGGATTCTGCACGTCCCACAGGCAGAACGTCAGCGCATTGAGGAGCACTTCCAAAGGCCTTGATGCGACTGATTTGCTGAAGCAGTTTGCTGTGCTACACCGGATATTGGAAGTAAACAAACCGCTGCAGCTTCATAGCTTTGCAAGAATATATTCAAACAAATAATGGAACTTTACATCAGAGTGTCTCTAAACGTTGCCAATGCTTTTCAAAGGCTTTGCGATCACCGCCTGAATTCTCTCAAGCAGGACATGTTTCTACCTCATTCGTTAGTTTTCCATGATTTTCCAGGTGTGGAAGCAGTGAAGCGAAGATGTCCCAACACGATGAGCAGCAGTTGCATTTTTGGAGGAGTTCACCTACAATTTCCTCACTGAGTTTTTCCTGCTCTACGACAACCTTCCAATTTGGTATACAGCTCAGTGACCGAGGGCTTGGTTGTGAATTGCTGAGCTGCCCATTCGGACATGATGCACCAAGTCCAGAAGTTGGATTGGATTTTTGGACCAGTCTACGCAGTCACTTTAATAACAGATGCTACCGGATTCAAAGGTTCCACCGACTCATCTCCTTCAACTTTGCATGGCGGAATGTTCCAATCGGAGGTGCATTGTGGCAAGTTGTTCTGCTTGCCAGAAAGGAAATCGGTGGAGTTTGTTGAAGTGATTTGGGGACTCTTCACAGGTGCATCCCCTGCATCTGCAGTGCAAAACTATTTGTACGATCGCCGCATGCTCAGTTGGACATGGCACTACCACCCAGCAAAAGGGGACCACATCAGGCCTGACATCAAGTCCACGCACGTTTGTTGTCAGATCCGAGATAGCCACAGGCGCTGTGAAGAGAAATAAGATCTTGGCTCGACGAAAGACATGTTGCAGAGTTTGTTTGCCTCGCAAATTGTGCTTGATGATCAATCATGCACCTTGGATATTCAGCTTTGTATGCGAATGTGTATATATAATTATATATACATTATATATACGTCGTATATACATGCTTTTGCTCGAAGGACTGAACAAGGGGTTTAGGATGGGTTAGGAATGGTTAGGATATCAATAGCCATCTCTTTCATAGCGGAGCTCAGGATCTTGGGGCTCTTTGCATAGTTTTGCACTAGCATGCTGTTTGTTCTGTTGGATACTATAAGACTATGACCAAAGTTGTTTTCCCTGAAGTTATCAAATTCTCAATTTTATTATGTCCAATTATGGTGAGAGCTTTCTTACAAACACACCTTACGACTGAGGCACTATCTCGATGAGTTTGGTTGGGGTTCAGGCGCTTACGGCATTTCCTGCCGAGCTCGCAAAGACTTGGCCTCAGTTTCTTCAACTCAAGACAGGCACAGTTGTTTAAGCAGACAAAGGCCTGGGCTGTTTGAAGATGTTTGAAGTTTGCAACATGGTTTTGTTCCAGCCTGCAAGCTACAGCAATGTAAATCCACCAAATCCGCATATGTGGGCCTGTGGATTTCTGACCCTGCGAATGGCGCAAATGAGCATGAAGATCGGCCAAGGATGGATGCACGGGCTACGCGCTTGTTGGAACTCCAACAGGCAAGAAACTATGTTTGAGGAGATGTTCCGTTGTGCCGATCGTAGTTCCAGAGTTTTGAGGTGCGTCTACGGGAAGCAGCAACCCAAAGTGTTAACACTCGTCAGAGAAGAGTTACTGGATGCACCACAGGCGCTGGATGCTGCTTCTCGCGTGCAGCCAAGGTTCGGTGCTGCATGGGCATGGGCGGAAGGAATCCAGAGGGGGTGTTGTTTGAGAGTTGCAGCAGAGTGTAGCAGTGTAGTTGTTGTCTGGTGAAGTGAATATACTGTGAATAGTAGGTGCCATCCTTGCTAGATTTGTGTACTCCAAGAGAGTTGAGGGATCATAGTGCAACGAGCGAAGTATCCCGACCAGATCCATTTGCTTTTTTTTTACTAGCATTGGAATGCATTGAACTTGTATTTTGAGAGATAGCCGTGCAAACCTGAACATTCGAGCGAAAGGTCTGAAATCAAGCCTTGCAAAAGATGCAATATGTATTTCTTTGACCTGCTGAGCTGCCTTCACAGGATAGAGTCAGATGGTGTGGACATAGTGTTGTCCTCAACACCTTTGCAACATGACCATATTGCATTGAGTCTGCCATCCAGTTGACATACTTGCAGTAGTTTCTGGTATTCTAGGCTTATGGCATGGCCTGGCATGGCATACAAATACTTGCAAGTATAGATTGTAATTTGATGTAAGTTGAACTCGCAATCTTTATAACTATTCAATACTATTCAATGTCAGGAATAAAAATACACAAGGAAAAGCAGTGCGAAAGGGCTTGGAACCCTGTGCTGAGGCAGTAGAAAACCTCACTCTATCAACTCCAGAACGCACAGTGCTTGCCGAGGGGTTGACCTTCGAGGTTTGCAGTCGCTTCATTTTGCGTCGATCCATCGCTTGACTGCTCTTTGTTTAGCGCGCACACTGCCTGCAGGTGAAGCGGAGTGAAGCCATTCTTATCACTGGACCCAACGGGGACTGGCTCTCAGTCTGGTGTGACATACCTGAAAGATCCTGAAAGTTTCTCATCAGCCTTCTAGCGAAGGGAAAGACTTCTTGTTGGAATCCAGGTGGTGCTTCTGTTGTGCTTGATGTGCGAAAAAAGAACAGAACAAAGCTCTGGTCACCAAGCCGAGGCAGGGAAAACCGCCTTGGCTCGTGTCCTGCTTGGGCTGTGGCCAGCGGGAAACGGTGTCAAGCTGTCCGTTCCTCCGAGCTTCAGTATCGTGCCACAAAGACCATACCTGGCACCTGGATGTTTAGGTGACCAGGTCACATACCCAAAGCGCTTTGGGAAAGATGATGAAGTGAACGCTTGGAAAGCCCTGGAAAAAGTGGGGCTCCTCTACTTGCTCCAGCGAGGAGACAGAGGAGTGAAAGGAGCTGAAGGATCTGAGGTGGCTGGGGTTGCAGAGGGCTGGCTGTTTCAATGTGACTGGGAGGATCAGTTGTCTGGTGGGGAACAACAGCGGCTGGCACTCAGTCGTGTCCTGTTTCATCGACCGTGCTTTGCCGTGCTGGATGAATGCACCTCCATGGTCGCGGCAGATGTGGAAGAACGATTGTATCAGACGGTGGTATGCTCTGAGATCACACCAGTGACCATGTCGCAGCGACTCTTTCTTCCTCAGCTTCACAGCCAAGAGCTTCGACTTGGCGTAGACAGCCCCTCAAAGTGGTCTCTGGTTTGGTCCCCAGGGTTTTTTCTGTGACTTACACAAGATGTCCTTGCAACGTGAATCAAACGTTTCACCTCCGCACATGCATGGCATTGAAGGCATTGCCCTTGTGACCAGGCCCAGCTGCGAAATGGCAATTCCTGAACAGCGACTTCTCTGAAAAGGCTTTCAAGAACGGTCTTAGCGGCTAGCGTGTCTAGTCTAGTGAGTCTAGTGGCACTTGGCCACTGATTGTTTGATCCTTTCCGGACAAATGTGCCGCACTAGCATTCGCCTGTCCAGCTAATATCCACCCGACGAAGTTGCAGCAGTACCTGCAGCTGAGACGATGTCAGGACAGATAATGAGCGTTCAACGAAGAAAATCATGTGACTCCAATCACTCATGCAATATTCTTCGCCCCCAAGTACCACAGGCGCGCTGGAGCTTGCGGTTGGTCAAGAGTGCCTATGAAGTTCAAGGATTCTTTGTAAATCCAACAGATTTGGCTCGATGAGAAGATTAGATGAAGAAGACACTCACTTCAGTGAAGCAGCCATGGCAGTCCAAGTGGAAGGAGAATCAAAGGAGTAACCAGAGGAGAACATGTTCAAAGATTGGCCAGGGAAGTATGGCCGGAAAGCCCCCGCCAGTAGCATTCTGCTGCAGTTGTAGCAAACATGGCGGACGGCCGCTTTGATGATTTGTCGCTTGCTTCCAGATATCAGGTGCTGTGTATCAGTATTTGCTGTCTAGATGCATTATTTTTTTCACAGGACAATGTTATGTTTACGTTTCACATGGCTTAACCAAAGGTAACATTTTTTAGCGCTTTTAGACACCAGAATGCAAATGACATGGGGCGTTGCTGCTCATTTGGGGTCAATGAGACCCACATTTCAGGTGCCCGCCGCCTAATGTAAAATGCAGAAGGATTGAATGCCTGAGGTGTATCATGTTGTATCTACCCAGCGACTATGGGAGAGCAAAACGATTGCTTGAATATTTTGCCCTGAGGCTTGTGAATATGGCCAGGAAGCACTCCAATGTAGAGGCTGCGGTATACAAAAAGAGCTTGGGTTGAAGTTGTGATGGGTAGTCATGTCATGATATTTTTCCATTTTTTTCCATTTTTTCCCATCTTCTTATTTTATGGTGTAGTACAGCCATGTACAGCCACAGCCACATGTGCCACGCGGTGCGAGGAGCTGACCTGGAGCCTTCTGAGCTTTTTTGAGCGTCGCACAGATCTCTTCCATGTCATGGAGACCTCATCAGATCGCGAGATCCCCAGCTGTGAAGATCAGTGCATGACAAGTGCATGGCAAGTACACAGAATGCTTCCCTTTAGCACTGGATATCAAACACTCACCACAGCATGATGACAAATGACGTTGGAGCTGGAATTAAGTTTGAATCCTCCTTGCTAGCTGTGGTCAGCTGTGGTATGGGGTCGTCTCCTCGCATTTTTTCAAGGCATGGGCTTCGGACCGGGAATGGCTGAAAAGATGCTGTTCAAGCACTTTCATTTCTGTTGGAGCCTTTGCGACACACCTGGTGCTGGACCTTTACATTTGTGCAGAGGTAAACAGGTAAACATTGACTCAAGAGAAGCACGGGTTCACTTCTGTGACAAACAGATTCCACTGTTTTTCCACGGTTTTTCTGCCCTTTTGCAAATAGGTCGCCATGGCGCCGGCATAGCCATCTGGCTCCCAGACAGACTGTCAAACAGGTTCTGGAGATTTCTGGAGATTTCTGGAGCATGTGTTATACATGTTATAATGAAGGCACATAGATTCAGTCCTTGGCTCAGAATGCCTTCTGTGAATTGTTGGCACTGTTTTGAAAAAAGCCCAGGATGAACGGCCGACTAGGCCCACATCAAATGCTGTGCATTTTGACAAGATCCCCTGTATCTAATACGGATTCCAGAGCCAAGAGGCAGAAGAAACAAACAAAGTTTAAGTCTGACTCTTACCCCAAAGTGGACCTAAGGCGAGTCCAACAAGTATTATCTGAGGCAAGTGGAACCAGCTCAAACAAGTCAGTGCTGGGAACAATGGTTCATATGCTGGCTGCGGTCTGAGGTCCTCGGCCACATGCAGAGGACCCTGCCAATGCTTTGAAAGGATTGCCACAGTTGCTTCTTCACAGAATCTTGACTGGAGAATTAGTGCTGCATCTTTGTTCTGGAGTAGAATGCTCACATTTTTTTTTGCTTTGCTGAGCTGTAGCACTTTCCAATGTGTGGCTGAGACTTCTGTAGATAGTTCAGCATCCTGCCCAACCACTTCGCGATTTGACAGTTCTTGAGAGAGCATGGAGATTTTCATTGACAGAACAGCTCTTCCACTCTTCCACCCAAAGTACTATCATGTACTATCTAAGGGGTGCATATGTGTTGTGGACTCAGTGAGGAAGCTTTTTGTTTTGGTCCAACACAAGCGACTTTTCTTCGAAGATTGTTTTATCAGCAAACATGTCTCAACTTTTGGGAATCCAGAATCCAGAATCCAGAATCCAGACTTTTTTTGAAATGGCACGCAACTCTTCTGCGTCCGCAAGCAACTCTCGCTCTGCAAAGCACTACAAACCAGTCACATCTTTTGCTCTCCATTTCCGATATTTCTGCATCTCAGCTCGAGGTCGCAACACAATTCAGCCAATTTCTGTGGTATGGCGGCATACCACTCCATCGAGGCACAGCGTCGCGCCGAGTGCATCCTTGGATTCGCTTAGCTCAAACTCTGCGAGGCATTACAAGAGGGTGGCGGAATGCATAAGTGCAGCTGAGAATTCAGTGACCGCCCGCTACTCAGTCTGTGAGTCAGATCTTCTCCCACTTTTTCACCAGATTTCACATGTGCCATGGTCTCAAGAGTTAGATGACGTTAGACTGTCACGTATTGGGGGATGGTCATCAATCCATAAATGGGGATGTATATACCATTATATACCAGTATAAACTATAAAGACTCCCCGGTAATGGTGGGACGACCATGGCACGCATTTTTCAAGCTGCGCAAGGAGGCGCGGATGTCTGCAAGTGCTGCTCCAACTTCCAGAGTTCCGTTGCCGACGATCACTATAGAGCCTCCGAAACTTGTAATTACCGTTCCTCGGAAGCATCCGGGTGGATCATGTCGGCTTTGTTGATTGTGTGATTGGGTAACTTCTCTTCAAAAGCCTTCATGTTTCGATAGATTTAGATAGTTTAATGATAGAAGTCATGCATAAGTGCAGACAGCAACAGTGGACATGATGAAAAGTGTCTTGCATGGTGCCGGCTTTGGTTGATGGTCGAGCTCAATTTTTGTGCCGCTCAAGTAGCTTGCTGCGGCAGATTGTTGGGATATCCTCAGGTCTCTGATCCAGACTCAGGCAGAAGTTTCCGTGCTGCATTCAGAAAACCCACATACCTTGACAATATGGAGACGAGTTGTTTTAAATAAAACAGGCTAGCTGTATCAGTACAGTATGATCTTGGTAGGTTTGCTTGCATTGAGGGGAATGAATCCTTTGTCAATCTAAGGAGTATCGCACAAGATCTCCCTGGCCTTTTGTGATGCTGTCCCGTGCATGCTCACAGGCATGGCCAATATCAATATGTAACTAATACAAACACATGGCAAAGCTTCAACTAGCCAAAATCCAGCCCGCAGAGAGCAAAGTGACTGAACACATGGCTTGCAAGGAGGGATGTCGATAGTCTTTGGAAATAGCGAGAGCGTCATTTAGTTCAGGAATTGTGCCATATCTTGTCTTCCAAAGCGAGTTTGACATGTTTCGCATCTTTGACATGTAGCACTGCAGCACCTTCAAAGCCAAGATTGTTCCAGGAACGAATATTGTGGGCCTCGAGCCAGACTGCAATCCTGGTGAAGAATCGGGCAAGATGGGAGTATTGCTAGCGTCGCTCTGCACATGGTAGTGGAAGAGTAGACCAGTGGTGGGTGCCCGACTTGATCAATGATTTGCAGTGGGTAGATTGAGCAGTTCTAAGTTCTATGATGATGCTTGAGAAAAGGTTGTGTTGATCCAACACAAGATCAGGAAATATCCCTTTGAATTTGCAAGAGCTTCCTAAAGTTCTTTGTTTGGTCGCAAAGTAAAGATTACCTTCTCAGGCAACGTGAAGCTCAATCTCGTCAGCCCAGGAAAGCTCCGACGAAGAGCAAAGATCTTCGTGCCACCATGACGTCGGGCAATGGTGCAGAGGAGAAGAGCGAGACCCAAATCTTCAGCGGCAGTACACAAAGCCAAAATATGCCAAAAAGAATTACTGTAACGTCTTGTGATTTCGACAAGAGATGAAAGAGGAGTATCTCCGGTTTTCAATCTCAAAATTTTGCCTTAGTGAAATGTTTTTTTCCCACTGTAGGGCATAAAGGATTGTAAAGGTAACCACACTTTGCAAAGCGGCTGAGAAAGGCATGCTTTTTGTTGTGGTTGTCCCTCCGGTGAACCAGACCCCAGAGGACAAATACGCAGTAGCGTCGCAACTCTGGTTGGTTTATGCTGACGAATGCAGCAGTGCCCCAAGTTCTGCTTTGTTTGGCCTCGCAATATTTTGCAATACTTTCAGAAACTGTGTTCAAAAATGTTCAAAAGGTTGCTTTTCCTCTTGCACTACATAGCCGGACATAGCTATTTGAAGATTTTGAAGGGCCGGCGCCTCGGCACGAGCTGCAAACGAGGTCCGCGACAGCTGCAAGACATCCTGCTCACCATGAGCCTCCAGGGTGCGATTTTGCGACTCGGACTCGGCGTGAAGAGATCCCTGAGATACCATGGTTACCACACGGGCTCACACGTTACCACAGGTTACCACGTGCAACGAAAGATGGACATGGTTAGCGTTGAGCATTGTCTCATTCATGATTTGTTGCTTGAATTTTCTGTTGAATTCTCTTCAGGCACAACATCTCGCCTCGGTGGGAGATTATGGAAAGTCCCCTTCGACAGGGCTGTGACCGCCTTAGAAGTTGACATGCCAACTGCATCTGCATCCAACTACTGGGTGCTGAATCTGTTTCTGTCTGTTTCTGTCTGTTTCTCTGCCAAGTCTACGGCCTTCTGGTGTCGGGGAAAGCTGTGAAAGCCGCGGATCAGGAGGGGAACTGGTTGTAACATGTTGTAACCTTGGTAATATGAATCTATATGATTTCTATATGAACATATACGTATGAACTGTATATGATGTATATAATATGTTCATGGTTGGCAAACTGACCTTGCTTGGAGCCTGAAGTCTTGGCCACTTCCTTGTGATGATGAAAATGGCAGGAACCTGCCCAGCAAATCACAATGAAGATCCCTGGCAAGGCAGAAAGCGACGGTCGACTAGGTTGACTAGGTAATCCCATGGTATTGTTAATCACAACATGCTTCGGAGCCACGAAGTAGATCTTTATTTTCGAATAAGCGCACTCTGCCACACTGCCTATACTCTCAGACAAGTTTTGCCAACAGGTGCGAGTTGTGGATCTCTACAACGAGGTAGCAACCTTAGTTTGCAAAGTTTGGTGCAGAAAAGCAGCTGCTGGGTGAATCACAGGCCAAGGTGGCCAAGGAAGCCTCCATTGAAAGCGAGGTCAAGACATCTTTGGTGGTCAAAGGCCACGAAAATGTTGTTGATTTTAGGCCGGACGTGTTTGGTCAAGTTTGGGCAAGAGCAACAACAGGCCGGTCATATCTGCAGAATTTGGAGTCTGCAAGCCACAGGGGCATCTTCTACATGGATGCAATGGAGTGCAAGCATGTTGCTGAACTTCTTAGTCCTTCAATGGCATGTGCAAACCTCAGTGAAGCCCCAGTGAGTTGTACAAGATCCACTTTGTCTTTGGAACATTTAGAACCAAGAGACAACATACCGTGGCTGGAATCAGACGGAGAAAACCCTTCCTCTAAAGTCAGAAGTCTGAGAAGCTCCAAATGAACAACCGAGGCAACATAGCGACATACCACTCAGCCTCCTGGCAAGGGGATGGCAATGGGATGAAGTGCTAAACCACCGGCAAACTCAACCAGCTTGGCACCCAAGAATCTAAAAACAGTACCTCCCTCCCTCAAAATGATCATATCTGATCAGATCATACATAACTATACATTATATGTCCACAATATATGACCATATGACTCCATATTATGATATATATATATATATTTTATATTATATTATATTATATTATATTATATTACATTATGATTGGTTGTCTACAATAGTGTGACTAAAGTCGTATTGGGCCTTTTTGATTAATGTGTGAAGTTTCCACATCAATCTGCTAGCCGCTAGCTAGCCAACATTCCATGTCCATCGGGCTATTTCAAAACTTCCACCTATCAGCTGTGGATCTTTGCACAAGTGCCATGTCTCGTCTCAATGAGACCACTGGGGAGATTTCTGGTGGTTTTCGGAAAGGTCAAAAAAGGAGTCTTTATTGATGATCTTTAATGTTCTTTCATGTGTTCTATTCTCTGGTGTTTTGAAATCCAAGGGCTATATTGAACTGGGGATTGACATCAATATCTCTCTGCATCTTTCTCAGCGTTTGACCACTATCTCTAGCCCATCTCAGGAGATTGCGCTTGTTTTTAGTAGCATTGAGGCAGGACAGTCGCTATGATTCCTCAGACCAAGAATGCATACCGAAATGATCGATTGCTGCAAGTGAAATTCAAGACTGTGCTCAGGGAATGTCGCTGCAGTCATGGGCGCACAGTGAGCATGGGCTTTCCGAAGCTTGCTCACTTCATGCGCTGAAGGCACAAGTGCAGGAGTGCAGCAGCATGGTGCAGAAAGAGACCGCAGTGCTTAGTGCTTGTTTTTGGGAGCTGTCAGGGCATTGGAGAAGCTCTACGTTATATCCATTCGCTCCAGGTGGTCCATTCTAATGCCACTCGATTGGATGGGAATTCAGGACTCACACCGGAGTATTAGCTGTTTTCCAAGGTGAACCCTGAGAGCATTTTCATCAAGACTGACGGCGAGTCAGTGCTTGAATCCTGTCAGCAATTAAGATAATTAAGCTTGTGCTTGGATGCCTCTTAGTATTTACAGAATTCTATACACTTCCGTTTGAGGCGGATTTCGGCTACGCGGTTCACATGGATGGGGGTATGCTTCGGCCTCAGCTTTTCTGGCAATGCTCCGTGACTCCGTGCAGTTCCTGTCCAAAGCACTCACCTCGAGGCCAGTGGGCCTTGGGCAGCCAGTGCCTGTGCAGTTTTCAGCGCCAGAACAGGCGGTTTTTTACCTGTTAAAATCTGTTAAATCAGCAAAATTAGACATGTGTGACATGTTCATTCTGCAGAGGGGCAGTGTCTTATCCGGTCAGCGTAGGTGTCGGATTCTTGCTGCTATGGTGGCTTGGAGGCAGAAAGGCATTGAAAGTAAAGGTTGGATGAAGCAAAGTATTGCGGGAGCCTGGCAGTCACATCGTTCAAGGTGTTGCTGCTGACATATTTGCTCTAGGAGGTTTGAGCCCAAGACACTGAGACAAAGACTTGAGCCCAGAATGGGAAGTGCTCACAACGAGAACCTGATTTGCTCCAGGTTGTTTGTATTACGCCTTGAGCGACTTGCAGCCCTTCAAAGGGAAATGTAGAGACTTGGGTGTGCAATGTAGCCAGAGAAAAGGCCATGCATCATGTTGAGCAAGTCATAGTCACAGTGTCAACCCTTGGCACCCCAATGGCCCCAATGCTTTCCCATGTTTTGATGCCAAAGGAGAGGATATCGTTTACAGTATTGTGCACCGATCTCCAGCAGCTTGGCAAAAACGTTGCTCAGCTAGACATGAGAAATATTGAGAAACCATATGGCCACAATGTGTCTGAAAGACTTCTGAAAGGATCTCGGACGACCTGAGTTCAAATATGTCAGCGTTCGTTCCTTAGTGCCGGTTCCCTTTGGTGTAGGGCCACTGATCAAAGGAGTTGTTGTGGGTGTGCAATGCCAATGTACCAAATACAGGTTAATTCGCTGCAGCTGGGGAGGAATCCTTGTTTTGCTTGCTGTTCAGGCCAAGACAAGGGACTTTATTCGAATGTTGATGCTTGGAGCTTACACCATGGAAGCGATCCCAAGCATCGCTGTTCATGTTGCAGATCTTCATTTGCTATTTGTATCTATTTGTACAACTTCAAACAGTTCTTGTGACAGAAATCATGACTTAGCTGTACAAGACTGCATTTATTACCAACTCCTGAGGTACAAAGAACCAACACTGCGACCAACAGCTGAAGAAGCCTGCCAGGTCAAAAGAAAACTGTCAAGTTGGAAAGCTGTGACGCAAACCCGGACACTTGGTGTACAAAGAAAGTGGACGAAACATTGCCAGCCCACTGAATTGCCATCGGAAACATGGCCTGACTGGCTCTGGCATCGCAGGGCATGCCATGCAGGTGCTTCGAAACCCTGAGCATTCTTTCTTCTCTGATGCCGTGAGCGAGCTCATGGATGTGCGGCAACCACCAATTACAGGCCATGGCTCTCCAAGTTTTGATTCGCCATCAGAACTGGCTAGCCAATGCATGTTCGTAGATGATTCACGATCATTCACGCGTGGCATGGTTTGCACTCCAAGTTATCAACAGATTGGACACATGCATCAGGACATGAATGTCATGTATCATATTGTATCATATATTGCATTATTGTCTTTCAAGCTTCACAATCTTCACAGGAAAAACTCTTCGCTCAAGGCAGAGGGAAGCAGCACATCTCGTTTCTGAGGTGTTGGCACATTGCTTCAGCGGATTGGTCGATGCTTACGGAAAAGAGCCACTGCAGTCCGCAGGCATTGTGTCAGGGAGCTCATTATGCAGCAGATTCTTCGTTTTTTGCATCTTCTTGCATTCACTATGTCGACATTTTTCATATTCTTCGATATTGATTTCACATCTGTGATTTTGAAAGTTCCGCTCTTACTTGGATTTGAGGAAAGCCGAGCACACCATGGATTTGCTTTGCCACCTGTGCCAGGAACTGTGCCGACCTTGCGAGGAGATCGCGGATTTCTCGCCGCAGCTCAAAGTCAGTGGTGCCTTTTGACGACTTGACATTGGTGGTTCCGGATGATCCTGGCCAAAAGAAGGCATCTATGGATATCTATGGAATCTATGGCATCTTGAGTCTTTGACAGAGAGATGTTCTACAGAGAGCTTTGATTTTTGACCTGAGCAGTTGTTTTCTCTGAAGTATTGAATCAGGCACCGAGAGCAACATCAACAACAAAATGCCTCTTGGTTAAAGAAGACAGTGACAAGGCAGCCACTGAACTTCGGTATGTACTTTTGAATACCTTTGACCTCCTGCTGTCAGTGCAAGACGTTCGAACATGTTTGCCCTGTTTAAGTTGGCCACAATTATTGACTCAGGATGACTCAGGAATCATCGCTTTGCTTTGGCTTTGGTTTTCAACTGCATGGCATCCCTACTGGAGAAGTGAGGGTGAGCGCCAGCGAGCCGTGTTTGGGAAGCAGGCTTTCTGACATTATCGGTGTGAGGTTGAGCGCAAGGCTCCCTCAGATTTGCGTCGGGACTATTTTGTGCCTTACAACTCTTGTTGAGGAGGGCCTTGGCATCCAAGATGCCAGGTAGGAGTTGCCTACAAAATTTCAATGCATTTACATTTCAGTAGATCCTAGATGATCTTCCTGCGACAGAGAACTTAACTCACGCATCCTTTTGATCACTTCAACTCTTCTTGCTGTCCGGCACAGGAAGTTCTGGGTACCAGGAAGTTTTTGCCTACCTTTCTTGCTGCAATGTTTGTTCTTCCAGATGGGAGAGAGTTGACTTGCAGCAACTGAGTTTTCTTTTCCACTTTCTCGGCAAAGCCGAGAGAGCACTTATAGGGCAAGGATCGAGACATCAAACTCGTTTCTCAAAATGGAGGATGAGAATATGTTACTTGTGAAGTGCAGGCTAACCAAAGCACCAACATGTTTTCTCCAAGTGGATTCCATGCTCAGGTCAGCAAAGATATTTGGCGAAGCATCAGTTGGAGCCCAAGATACATCCAAAGGACATTGTTCCTAGACGTTTTCATCAAACTACAAGAGAAAGCCCGAGAAGTTCTTCAGAGAAGTGAGGTTGTTTTGTCTATCAACCAAAACGAATTAAGGCCACATCTGCTGCGTGAGCCAGATGCAGAGCCGGCAGGTAAAGAGTTGCTGATTTGATGGGTGAATTCACCTTGTCTTTATTTTGATGGGTGAATTTATTTGCCAAGGTGTTTCAGATGGATTCCAGGTGGATTCCAAGTGGATTGCAGGTCCAGTCTAGGTCTATTTTTCCAGATGATTCCGGGTGGATTCCACATTGATTCCAAGTGGATTTTATGATATTTTATGTGTGGATTCTAAAGTTCTAAAGATTCATGCAGAGTAAAGACATCCCAGCACCTGCTGCGGCCCTGAAGGCTCTTCTGCATCGGCTGCATCGGCTGCTGCGGCTCCTGCAGCTGCGGCTCCCGCAGCGCCGGACACGGCAACTTCGGGTGCGACGCAGGAGGCGGTGATAGAGGAGACGGAGGAACTGAGGCCCGGCGATTTGTTCTTTTGTGGTACTTGTGTAACAGTTGTAACATTTTTGTTATGGGGGTACCCGGGCACCCCAATCTTACAAGGAATTCATCAATATAAATTATATAGTTTATCACTGTTTTGGGGGTTCACTATTGAAAATGGGTATCCCACTTACTGTAGTTCAATAAACTGGGGGTTTCTTGGTTCGAGATTGACATGAATGATTTTGGGATATTACTTGCAGATGTTTTTGTTTGTTGTGCTTCAGATTTTGCCCAATGAAATGATGTGATATATTGAGTCACAGATAAAATGCATGTCCATGGACAGGAAGATGAAGCATCTCGTTTGCAGACTGTCTGGGGATGTCAGAAGGATGGAGGGCGACGGAAAAGGGAAACTCGGATGAAGCGGGATTGCAAAGCAACTCTTTTGAAAGAAGCCCATCTTGCGCTGCAACTGCATGGACAGCTGAAGACAATTCAATATGCAAACCGGTTCCAGGCACATCAGCACGTGGAATGGAGTCGCTGACTGAGATCTAGGCGAAACTGAATACAGAGAGCTTGTATCCAAGAGGAGAGCCACTGCCATACTGCCCCTCCAAAAAAATATCCAAACACCATCCACATACAAGGTACATCAAGGTACATCCTATTCATACACAGCTCCTTTTCATCATCAAAGCTATGATCCGAGAGTGTTGAGGGTTTTTTTGAGAGTTTTCGATTGCCTGGGAATCTTTGTGCGACCTTGCAGTCCAAGGCCATTACAGACAAGTACTACTGGTCGCAGTCCTTGCAAGAACTCACTGTCGAGGTGGAGGTTGGTACATGCAAGGCACCCACACACTTCACGTAGACTTGGAGAGTTTTTTTCTGGAAACAGTTTTTTCTTGTAGATTTCTTAAGCGCAGAGAAGAGCTGTACGAGCAAAAACCATCCCAAGGCCTCTGATGTCAAGGTGGAGATATCGGCCACCAGGCATTGCATGACGGCCTCTATGACACGTGACCAAACGTATCCAAACCTCGTGAAAGCTGTGAAGCGCCCAATGCTAAAATGACACGCAGGTTGACTGTGGCAAGAGGCACAGAGGTGTTACTGATGGGAAAACTCCACGAGAAAGTCTTGCCTGAGGACAGCCGGGAGATGCCCGGAGTTGAATCCGCATTACCACACACATCTATACGTGCAGTCTATACACTTGTCACTTGTCTATGTCAATATAATATAGTATCATATACTCTATACACATACCTACAAAGTCATGCGGTCTCACACAGAGACACACAAACACACCCAAACCGTCGAGCCCATGGCTTCACTTTCACCTCGGAATGTCACTGGCAGTCACTGGCAAGGAGTCTATTTGGCACTTGGAAGATGAGCATCAAGCCGCATGACTTGAATTCCAGCGGTTCGGTCGCAACCCGAGCCTTGACCCAAGATTTCCAGGTCATCATCTCCTTGCAGAAGTCAAGAGAAAGCTGGTGGAAGTGCGTTCTGGAGGGCGACCCGGACCGGGATGCACTAAGGAAATATCCTGGGTACCGATTCACTTCACGATTTTAAATTCTTGAACTTCGGGAAAAACTGCAAAAATGTATCGGTTGCAGGAAATTGACACTACCAAGGCTGCACTCTGAGTTGTTGGTTGCTAGATTTCACTTTCAAGTCTTTCAAGTGTTCATTCTGGAAGACTTGATTGAAAAGAAGCAAAAGTTGACCGAGGTGGAATCGACCAGAAAGATGGAGGAATATGATGGCGAGACACAGGGCGCCATCAGGACACATTTGCGAGTGTCAAGAGCAAGTACAGTATCTAAGGATCAAAATTGGGATAGATGACAATACAACTTCCAACCAAATGATATAATATAATATAATATAATATAACATCATATAATATAATATAATATAACATAATATAATATAATATAATTTAATATAACATAATGTAAGAGACTGAACAATAGAATATATAATATATAATATAAAAACATATAGTATATAATATATAATATATAATATATAATATATAATGTATAATATATAATATATAATATACAATGCATACATATTAATTTTAGTTTTTTTTTTTTTATATAACTTATATATTAATATATAGTATATAATATTTAATATATAGTATTTAATATATAATATTTAATATATAATAAATACTATTTAATATATAATATATAATTTTATATATATACAATAAACACTATGTAATATATATTATTTTATATATAATAGAGATTATTTCATATATTATATATTGTATATAATATATATAAATATTTTTAATATGATCTGATATACATATCATTTAATATAACTTGATTTACATATCATATAATATAATATGATATCATATAACATAATGTGATATCATATAATATAATATGACATATTTTTTTTCATATAACAATATTTTACACTATAATATTAAATTTTAATTTTAATATAATATTTCATATAATATAATATAATATAATATTATATTATATTTGTTTCAATAAAATATTTCATTTAATATACTATAATATGATATAATATAATAAAATATAATATATAATACAATAAATTGTACATACAATATAATATAATATAATATAATATAATACATTATAATTATAATATAAATATAGTATATAGTATAATATGATATAATATATTATAATATGATATATTATATTATGATAATATAATATAATATAAACATGTATAGTATAATACAGTATATACATGAGTGACCAGCAGATCCCCCCGCAGAGGAGTCTTATACAAACGTATGATTGGATTATGTTGTTGCAAATTTGTAGTGCGTTTTTGCCTGGGAGGCGCAAGAAAGCGCAAGGGTGGGCGCAAGGTTATTTCTATCAACAGACCGGCAACTATGTTTTGATATGTTTTGATCAACCCCCATAATATATATATATATATTATATTATTTATATTATACACACACACATTGGGAAACGGCTGTCATATGAGACATCAGGGTTTGGTTTGTACCAAGTCTGCGCATGAGAGTGCCTGCAAAACCATCCAACGCGTCTCTCAGTGTCGTAGCCATAACTGTAGTCAGATTGTTCTTGGCAAACGACACCTCTATCTAGATTCAAGCTATCCATTCTGATGGAGTGCCAAACCATCGGAGCATAAATGAGGGAGGAGAGTACGCCTAAGAGGTCGGTGCATGCCCCGTGAATCAAATTGCACTTTAGACGTGTACTAAAGCCGTGCATTGAGGAAGATCATGTTCGATCAGAATCAAAAAATTCAGGTGGCAGAGGGAATGGAAGGGAGGTGTGGAGTCCAAAGTTTGCGGAGACTAGAAAGGCAACATCAAGAAGGGCCTTAATTATCTCACACATCCCAAATCCATTGAGTTTCCATTTTGCTCCATGAAAGTGACAAGGAGACCATGGAGACCGAAAATTCAAATTTGCTGCGTGTTGCGATCTGACTTTCAGGGGAAGCCAAGCTCTGATCAGATTCGAACTGCCGAGATGATGAAGGTGCGACTCTGTACATATCTGTTGAAATCTATTGTAGCTAAAATCCCCCACCTAGCTGCTTGCAGGATGCCTGGAATGCGCCGGGATCACCCTTCCGTGGCACAGAGTTTGTCAGAGCCCTAAACAAAACAAACATCAGCAAATGTAAAATGATACAGCAGCATCTTTTGGAAGTTCCCTTGCATGGGAAGCAAATCCAATCTCTATGGCGAGAGAGAAATGTGGGAGAAATGCGGGAGAAATGCGGAGTTGTCTGCTTCTTTCAGCTTTTTTCACCAGGATGTGTCAGTGCAATGTTGGTCAGACGGATTCCCACGACAATTTCATTTCGAGGATCCAACGCTCTTGAATTTGTCTGGGCCAGTTGGTGACGACTTCTTCAAGGCATTCAGACCGGTGTGGGAAGGGCTGGGGAGGGGGTGTCTTTGTATGATTATGTCTTTGTCCTTGCGGATTTGGGTTCTGGCTGAAGTCACGAAAGGTAGCGTCAGCTACCTGAGTTCTCCGTGCTTCAGCACAAGCTTAGGGGGTATTGGGGGGCCAGCCCACGGAATTCATGGAATTCTCGCCGTTATGTATTGGATATCAATTATAAGGGGGGGGGCCCCCCCCCCCGAAAATGGTCATGGGTTCAATTCCCACGGGTGACGCGGTCACGGGCCCCCACATTAGAGGCACACTTTCCATGAGGGAGATGTCCCTGTAGTCCAGCATAATTGGTATGCTTCAGCCTCAATAACAGTTGCTGCAAGGGGTCTGAAAAAGGGATTTTAAATAAACCCCTTTTCGTGCATCATTTCACGCTGCACAAGACACCGTATCATGCAGTCATGCTCTGGATAAAATCATCTTGGACTGCGCAAAAACG